TACGAGCTGAGACTGAGCGGAAAACTAGAAAGAAGGCAAGAAGGCGTGCTATTCTAGGTAATGATACCCTTTTATTCTGTACAAGAAGGCCAAAATACGCATTCAGCAGCTTGATACGCAGCTTAATGAGAAGCTTGATGAGCCTACACCTATGCCTCAACGGCGAGCTCCACAACGCTGCAGTGGCTGTGGGACTATTGGACATACCATAAGGAATTGTCCTAATAAATAGCTATATATTCAACTACTAGATAGTCTAATTTAATTGTATTGGTGGTTGAAAAGCTTCAAAATTATAGTGGGTGCGGCGAAAATTCGTCGCTCGGTGGTATTCGTCGCTCGGTGGTTGATTACGTTAAATCGAAGACCCCGCTAGGCCTGGCCAGCCGCCTCCGCTTTCTGGCAGCGTCGCGCTTCCCCTCCCCCGGCGCTGTCAAGCCTTTTGTCTGGCCTCATCCATTCCGACACGCGCTCCATGCCCTTCCTTCGCCCGTCTTCCTTCCCCACCCGTCTCGTGCGGCCCTGACGCCATTCGATTGATAACGTCCTCTATTGTAATACCATTCCCAATTCTCCCATTGCTGCTTGCTCATGGCCTGTCACTCCGCATCGTCGAGTGCCTGCTCCGAGTCGCCTTGGCTTAGTGAGCACTCGGACTGAATCCTTCGCCGCGGACTGGTTCCGCCTCAGCAACGCATCTGCATGCAATTGCGGTGGTGCACCCTGTCTCTGTGAAACCTGGATGGCACGCAAGTTTACGCATCAGAGGGTCAGCTATGGTCAGTCGTCCTCCGTCTTGTTTTGCCGCTGCCAGCATGGTCTTCGCGCAATGCAGCTTTCCGTCAGATGAAATCCCTTGTACCGGTCACTGACTGACGCTCTGGCACAGTGCTCCCTCTCCCCGACGCTCCTGGCGGCCATCGTCTCGGTGTCAATGGACTTGCGGTAGATGCCGACAATTCGATCCTGTAAGCCCCGCTGCCTCGGCGCTTTCTCCCGTCCGGGCCCTCCGCTAACCAGCGTCCCATTGTCAAGATACTCGGCCGGTCGCGATGGAGTGATTTGCTCTTGGAACCTCGACTTACCCGCCCTGTCCTCGTCCTCGTATACCAACTCCTCTGCCTCGAAACCCGCGGGCACCACGACTTTTAGGCACCAAGTCCAGGCCCACAGCCACTGGATCAATGATGTCGTCTTGACGCGAAATAACTCGGCTTTGGTCTCTGCGTCATCAGATACCACTGTACGAGTGTGGAGGCCACATTCCGAGACTACAGAGCTCCCCGCCTCGATCGGTCGACATGCCGATTATGTCAAGTGCCTGGCGACCCCAGGCCAGTACTCCGATTGGGTTGCTTCGGGTGGGCTAGACCACAAGATCTATCTCTGGGATCTCAATGGTGGCGGAGAGAGATTGAAGATCGATACCTGCGGAGACGACGTCACCAAGGGCTCCGTGTACGCCCTGGGCACTGGCGGTTCAGTCCTGGCGAGTGGTGGCCCCGAGTGTGTCGTGCGAGTGTGGGATCCCAAGTCGGGCAAACTCATCACCAAATTTGTCGGGCACACGGATAATATTCGCGATATTCTGATCAACCAGAATGGGGACACCATCATGACGGCCTCGTCCGACCAGACGATCAAGCTCTGGTCGTTGACGGCGGGAAGATGTACCCACACCTTGACGATGCACAACGACAGCGTCTGGTCTCTGTACTCGGACCACCCGCAGCTCTCGGTCTTCTACTCCAGTGATCGCTCCGGACTTGTGGCCAAGACCGACACGAGAAACGTCCCTGACATCGATCAAGGCACGTCGGTCGCCGTACTGCAGGAGCATGAGGGCGTCGTCAAAGTCGTGGCCGCAGGCGACTACATCTGGACCGCAACTCCCAAGTCAAGCATCAACCGTTGGAGCAATGTAGATACGACTGCCGAAATCGAGGTCCCGCCGTCTTCAGGGCGTCGTTTCAGCGCTGGTGGCCCATGTGAGTCGCGGCCCGACTCGCCAGATGGGACTCCTACGGCGGCTACGAACGGGACGGCGAAGAAGAAGATCCCCCACAACTCAGTTTTACTCCTTTCAGCCACATCGACCTTCCCGGCCGCGCGTGATCCGGAGCGATCCACTATCTATTCCTCCGTCAGCGGCAAAAAACCGTCGGATCTGATCACGGAGGATGATCTCGGTCTAGTCCTGCCCATGTACACGTCCCCAGAAGAGACGATCGAGGGTCAGCATGGGTTGATTAAGTATTTGATGTTGAATGATCGGAGACGCACTCTGACCCAGGATACCGCTGGAGAGGTTGTCCTGTGGGACCTGTTGAGGGTACGCCTTTTTCCTTTCTTTTTTTTTTTCTTCTTTACACGGTTGGATTTTTCCAACTAACCATTGTGGCAGTGTGTTCCGATCAAGTCATTTGGGAAGCGTCATATAGACGATGTCGCATCCGAGGTCAATACTGTGGAGAGCATCGCCCACTGGTGTACCTTGGACATACGAACCGGTCGGCTTTCCGTGATCTTAGAGCCTAATCGGTGTTTTGATGCCGAAGTTTATGCCGATGAAACTGATCTCGCCGGTCACGAAGAATTCCAGCAAGATCAGAGGAGTACGCAAGATCTTTGATTTCTCCCAAAAGAAGTTTATGGTAAGCTGACCATGAAAAACAACAGTTAATCTTGGAAAATGGGTTCTGCGCTGGCTGTTCAGCTCCTTGATAGATGAGGAGATCAGGCGCGATACAGAGTATCGTAAGTCGGCCGTTGCCAACGCAGAAGAGCTTCGAGCTCAGCGAGCCAACGCGACGGGGTCGATCGATATTCGTGCCCTAAACATCCCGACCTCTGCTACAAACCCGCGCCCGCCGAACGGATGGCATGGGAGTCATGTTACGTCGGGTCTAAACATCGGCTTGGCAACTTCTGCACCGGCGACCTTCACCAGTCCATCTGGCGGCTCTCCACTTCCAACAACTGAAGAAGAGGGATCGAATGCAGCAGGCCTGCGGCCAAGTCACGATTGGACCAGGCCTTCGTCCGAAAAGTCGAATGATTACGTCTCCCCGAACCCGAGTACGCAGGCAGCAGATACGGACAAAACGACCGACGAGCAGACCCCTACAGCGCTTCCGCAGTCTCCAAGCGAACCCGAGAAGGAAGAGAAGAAGAAGGGTGGCTCCTTGTTTGGCAAGAAGTTCCGAATGGATTTCCCGAAGAAGCTGGGACGAACCTCCTCCGATACCAAGGTTCCGGTGCAGGAAGAGAAAACGGAAGGCTCGGACAAGTCATCCGAGAAAGAGGAGGAAAAGGTGTTTGAGAGCAACCTCGGCGGTGTGATTGAGCGGATCAGGCACGAGTACGAAACATTCCTCATCTCCAACCCCGGAGGAACGTTGGTATCCGGCATCACCCCCAGTGGAGAGAATGAAACCCCGCGCTTGGAAATCCCGCCCCACACAGTCATAATGATTCAGGAGGAATCTGGCGACTCAGCTGTGGCAGCTGATCTGTACCGGGGCTCAGTGGGAACTATGCGCGAGGACGTCGACAAGCTCGAAAAATCCGCCCCGCACTGGCTTGGGGAGCTCCTCTTGAGGGTAAGTGCATGAAGTTAAAGGATATGTATGGATTGTCAAGATGCTAATTCGTTTCACAGAACCAGATACCGGCTAAAGAGGTGGTCAAAGTGGCATTCACCCTCAAGCCATATGGAGATCAATTACCTCCCGTTGTGAAGCCCGATGGGTAGGTCATGTCTTGAAGACTGTGGCTTGCTCTACAATGACAGATTCTGATGTCTGTTGCTCGTAGAACTCCTAACAACAATAGCTCCCGCTTGAACGCCAATCGTATGCTTCGTGCCAAGAAGATTCTGGCTTACATTGCTGAGCGTATCGACCCGCCAAACCCGAATGATCCCAATCCTGAGCTGAAGCCGGAGGAGTACCTGGAACTTTATTGCCAAAACACGGTATGTTGGACAAGAACCTTTGATCGAACAATGCTGACAGACATGACTAGTTAATACCCCCCAACATGACACTTGCTACAATTCGAGCCCATATCTGGCGCTCATCCGGTGATATGGTTTTGTTTTACAAAGCCAATGGCAAGAAAGAAATCCCCTCGCCAAGAGCACCTCAGGACGGCACGGACACTGGGCCTGATCATCATCCGAATGGATCGAGCCACCTACAGTTGGGGGTAAACGGTAGCGTGCCACCGGCCACGACGACTGCTTCAGGATCACCGTCTACATCGAAGACGCCGTCCATCTCCGGCATATAAGATGTTATCGCAAGCTACAGTCTCTGTTCTTACTACACTTGGATGTTTGGTCTAGCGATGGTCTCCTGCGTTGTTTGATCATTCCGAGGCGGAATTGTGTAGATCTTTTCTGGCTGATTTCTGTGTCTATATTTGGAAAATGTTGCTTAACTTGAGTGGCAGCATTTGCACATATATATATCTCTCTTATATCTCTCACACTATATACCTCTTGCTCTCTTCGCTATTGTATTTAATATATATTTCTCTCCTTCCTGTTGGTAGCATGACCTACATACAGTACGAATATACTCGATGGAAGAAAGACATCAAGCCGGATTATTTCCTGCATTTAATAGATCTAGACAGTTGGATCCGCACTGACGATCGACTGATATTTTGATACTTTGGTGTTCCTAGTTACTAGCAAGGCCTGGCCCATTTATATATCTGTCGGCGTCAACCCTCAGCCTATAGACCTTTGGAACGTGATATTTAATCTCTAGCCTCGCTTCCATTTTTTTTTATTTTATTGTTTATTTAAATTTTTTTTAAGAAATAGTTATTTCCAATATAGAATCTACAGTTGGAAAGGTTTAAAAAAAATATGCATCGTCAGGTACACTCCGCCCTGCGCCCGCCAAGAATTTGACTCCGCTGACCCAATAGCCAACGTCTATTAGTATCATCTATCTATCTATCGACTTTGCCTGTGTTATGGATCCAGCGCAACGCGCGCTATCCTCCCTGGTACCTCAGTCGACTAATAAATAGATGGCCGGACATGCCAAGAATGGGTTTGCTGGACCTATCTCACTGCCGCAGTTCTTCCGGAGCTTCCAACAGGCATGGAGCAACAGCAGCAGCAGCAACGCGCGGTTGTCGCAGCGGGCGGCGTCACTGCCGCGCAGACTGGGTATGTATATTTTATAATCTTAACCAGAACAAGAAGATCAACAGACATGTTGATGAGATCTGTGTATAATATATAGGCATTGCAGTCAGCGGCGGGGCGGATTCCATGGCCCTGACGTATCTGTGTAAACAGCTCGAGAAGAGCAAGCTGGTGGAGGGATTGGTCGTGAAGGCGTTCGTTGTCGATCATAAGGCTCGTGAAGAGAGTACCAGGGAGGCTCAGACTGTGGCTCGCTGGCTGGAGGAAATGGGTGAGCTATTTCGTTTTTTTTTCCCCCTTTGAAACGCAAATGGAGTTGGTTTTACTGACTATATATGGAACAGGCGTCGATCCAGAGATTCTGGAGCTCCAATGGCCAGACTCCGAGTCGGATCCGTCCAAGGTGTCCGCCTTTGAAACGCACGCTCGGAGGCTGCGCTTCCAAGCCCTGGGAAGAGCCTGTCGGAACAGTGCGATCGAGACGCTGCTGATGGGTCACCATCAGGACGACAATGTCGAGACCACGCTGTGGAGGCTCTGTTCCGGCGCGAGGGGCGCTGGATTGAGCGGCACTCCCCAGGTAGCTCGCATCCCCGAATGCCATGGTCTGTATGGCGTGTCGGAGAGCGGCTCGTGTTCAATCCTTAAGGCGCGACAAGCTCTTCGTCCTCAAATACGCCTAGATCAGAAGACCAATGTGGCACGTGTTTCTTTCCCTTCTTCTGAGGTCGTTACGGCCTCTACGGATATCAAAATGTCCACCGGAGGTATCTTGATCTGTCGTCCTCTTCTCTCGTTCCCCAAGAGCAGGCTGCTCGACACCTGCCACCACAACAAAGTCCCCTACGTGACTGATCCGACGAATTTCGACCCTACCCTCACTCCGAGAAACGCCATCCGGAGTCTGCTGTCGTCGAACCGGCTTCCTCGTGCTCTGCAGGCCCCCTCCATCCTTTCCCTAATTAAGAAGAGTCAGGATCTTCTGCGAGACTCGACGGAGCTGTCGAACGGCCTGTTGAAGGAGTGCAAGGTCCATGACTTCAACGCTCAGGTCGGGACGATGATCGTTCAATTTCCTTCTTCTTCTTCTCTCAAGGATCAGCGCGCTGGCAGTGGCAGCGGCAGCGGCAGCGGCTTTTCATCCAAAGACTGCCAGATTCAAGCCATGACACTCCGCCGCATTACGGAGTTGCTGTCTCCATTCGAGGAGAACCATTTCCCGCTTCAGAGCTTTGAAGCCTTTACCGGACGTGTGTTTCCAGATCCAGACCAAGCCTTACAACAACAACAACAACAACAACAACAACAACAACAACAACAACAACAACAACAACAACAACAACAACAACAACAACAACAACAACAACAACAACAACAACAACAACAACAACAACAACGACAACCTTTTACGGTCGGTGGAGTCATGTTTCGCCCCGTTTCGCAATTCGTTCCATTAGCAGAAGCAGTAGCAGCAGAACACAGAAGAAAACCGGAAGGAACCCCGTCACAGCCGGACTGTACCTCCTCCTCCTCCTCCCCCAACACGATTACAAGCAATAATATCTGGCTCCTCTCACGACAGCCATATATGCGCCATCGCCTGCCTGAGATCCGCCTCGAGGCACCGGTAGTATCAGCAGCATCGGCAGCAGCAGCAGCCTCACCCGACGAGACCGCAGACAGACCGTACAGTCCGTGGATCCTTTGGGACAACAGGTACTGGTTCCGCATGCGAGTTGCCATGTCCATGTCCGCAGAAGAGGATAGGAACGAACCTCGAACAATCCCACTCATCATCCGACCCCTTCAACAAGACGATCTGAAAACGATTTACCATCTTCTTGATCAGGACCAGACCCACGACCGTAATCATAATCATGCCCATCTCCAACAACTCCTCTCCCACCAAGCACCGGGTACCATCCGCTTCACGGTACCACTGATAACGACGACCATCGCGAAAGATAAAAGCGAGAAGAAGCAGCGTCCTGACTCCGACACCGATTCCAAGGGATCAGAACAAGAACAGGAACAGGAACAAGAACAACCCCTCGCCCTACCCACGCTGCAGATCCGAATACCAGGATCGTTGAACCACGGAGAAAATCAAGAATGGACACTGGAATGGGAATGGATGTATAAGAGTATTGATACCCAGGCGTTGAAATTGATGGGTTGGTTGTTGGATGGATGATTGGTAGGGTAGAAAATATTAAATGTGTGTATATATACTAGGAAAATCAACAGTAGATGTTTGAGAGAGAAACAATAATCATTGGTATCTCTGATAGGAAAGAATGTCATTATTTACAAATCTTGACCACCCTAACCTGTAAAGTTAACTGGAGAACAGACCATCCAGTATGTCCCCAATACGTAGTAGTAAATAAGTATTTACCCAAACACTCAACACTCAGGCAATCATGCGCCACATCATCAAAAGTGACTACCAACTCTGAGAGCCAAACGCCCCTGATCGCGGCCAGCCACGAAGCATAATCAAATAGATAGAAATAGTCCGAGTTTTCTGTTCATGCCTCATTTTCATCTTTTGAGGGTGGACTGGCGTCAATTTGCTGTGCTCTGAGACCACCCACTTCCCTCTTCAACCTCAGGTTCTCTTTCTTCACCCTCCCCACTTCTTCCAATGCCTCTCTCAGCTGCGCCTTCAATGCTTCCTCACCATTGCCCAGGCGGATATCTTTCACGACCTTGCTCAGCTCGGTATTAAACCGTTCGTACAGGGCCTCGTTCTCCGCACTGGCTTCTCGGTACAGTTCATCCAGCTTTTTGGCTCTTCTCTCACTGACGAGCAAAGATGTTTCCAGATCCCTTTCCAGGGCTGCTGTGCGACTGCCCAAATCCGTGAAGAAAGCGGAGAATCGATTTTCGAGATTGCGAACGCGAGTAGCCAAGCCTGCACCAGAGCTCGGTGAGCCTGGCGAGGTATTATTCTTCATGTTAGACCGCGACTGCTGCGTAGGTGAGAGCTTGAGAGCAGAAATTTCTTCGCCAATAAGGTCAAGCTCCGCTTGAAAAGCCGACCCCGCCGATGCTTGTGCCCTCTTTTCATTCAGGAGACGATCCCGCAGCTATTTTCCCCCGAAATGTCAGCAACACTCACAACACATCCGCAAAACATGGACATACCTTCTGGGGGCTCTGCATCCGAAGTCTCTGCGGTTTTTGCGGAGAAGACCAAGCCCGTTCACGCTTCGTAGAAGTTTCGGCACCATGAGAGCTTACAGGACGCTCTTTGGCTGCTACAATCTTTGTCGGCTGAGGAATGCTCGAGAGTGTATCGGAGCGCTTCTTCCTTGTAGCTGGTGACAAAGGGCCCTCAGTCTTTTTGTTTATAGCCCGTTCAGTCAACGTCGACCTCGGTGGGTAGTTTTCTTTGCGGACTGGAGATCCAGGCCGAATTGGAGTAGCAGGCCGCCGCGTAGGCGATGCCGGTCGTGTTGGAGATCGTGGCGACTGTGGCAGCCTGCTAGGCGATTCCCCGGTCGGGCTGCTTCGCGGCTGCGACGGTTTTGTGGAAGCCAGTACCTCTGATTGAGGACGGGGCTTTGGAGACGGCTTAAGTGGTTCAATGGGTGAAAGGATCGGTGGCTTTGTTGGTGTTGAGGGGGGTTGTAGATCGGAAAGAGAGCTCCTACGCTTCCTCCGGACCCTCCCCGGTTCTTTGTTCGAGGTCGAAGATGATTCGTCGACAGAAGAGTCATTGTGAGCGCTTCCTGGGCGATGGATACTCTCCTCCGATGCGAAGGCACCATATACGGAAGGACGATCTCTAGAGACTGGACGCAAAAGTTCTGCCATCCTAGTGTCCGTATCTGTGGACCTAGATCGGAACAGAGAAACTTTCTGATCCGAATCCCCAGAATTTTTGCTCTTGCTCAAGGTCCGAATAAGGGAACTGACCTTACTCTCTCCATCGGACTTGGACGAATTCTCGCGGTGTAAACTGAAACCAAAGCGTTTACGGAACGAGGAAGTATTCGAGCTCACAGAGCCAGCATTGCTGGCCGAGAGAGGCCTGCTTGGTGTGGTCTCGTGAGATACCGCATCCTGAGCGGAATCGTCAAAGAGATTGTCGAAGTCGTCGACAAGACGATCCAAGAGTGAAACATGTTGCATGGGATCGTCATCCTCAGTAAGGATTTCGGCAAATGCCGCAGTCAAAGCACCTCGATCGCCATCATTTCCGGAGGCCTCCAGAAGTTCTGCAAGGAGACGTATCATTGCAGTGAGTGCACGCCGATTTTGAGGACTCATTTCCCCTAGCGTCTTTCGAAAGAAGACCTCAAATTCCCCAGGGAATAAGGAATCAAACTTGCTCTGGATCGTCTTCAACACCGAAGGGGAAAGAATAGGCCCAATCTCGTCTTTCCAGGCATGCATAATGAATGTCTCGAATGCGACAAAGAGAACATCCACTGGAACCTCGGCGGCAGCCTGGAGCTTCCCTGGATCTTCGAGCAAAACGTTGTAGAGCTCATTAACCTCGGACCTGTCTGCATTTCTCCTGGAGCGAAGAGTGCGGCCCACAATGTTGCCGCTTCTGGAACGCAACGCCAAAATGTAGGCGGAGAACGTCTGCTCCAGAAGGCCAAGATGGTCCTCCTTGTTCGCCGACGATGGTGCGACGATCGAGATCTTGGGGGTGGTCTCGTCGAGTGCAACTGGCGTGGATGGCGTCGTGGGCCTCACGGCACTGACTTTCGTCGGGGTGATCTTCGGAACTTCCCCCAAGAGGGGATTGGGGTTGAATGCCTTGGACAGCGAAGGGGGATCTTTTGGCTGGCTTCCACCGCCCCAAAGGGTGGAGATCAACTTCGAGGGGGATGGTGGCCGGAAAGTGCGAGGAACCTTTGTGGTTTGAGCCATGATATGGCTGGCAACTTGGCGGAGAATGTCAAAATTCGAATAGACAATTGTCTCCGTTAAGGCTGGGTTCTGTGGTTGGTGCAAAGGCAGAAGCAGGTTGCAAACTGGATTCTGTCAGCACCGGCAAGCAGTGAGAAATGAATTGCATGCACATCAAACTTACGTCTCTTCGAAAGGACAGGGATGAATGTATCTGCTGCGACAATGTCCGCCGTGCTAGCACCGGTGATGGCATCGATCTCGACTTTGTACTGGTTCTCGTCGACCGACGACACCGACACGATCGCCTCCAAAGAGGAACTTTCCAATGTCTTTGTCCGGACCGCCTTGGGAGTATCAAAGACGATCCGGATATTCGACTCGCCAGTCCTGTTCATCTCACCACTGGGATCGTCCTCAAAAATCGATGCCAGAATCCCGAGATTTCCAGAAGTTCCCGCAGGACTTCTCAGGGTCCACTTTTCGCTCTCCCGTTCACGTTCTGAGAATCGTCCCTCAATTTTGGCCTTGACAATCTCTTCAATCAATCGGCTCGCCCGACCTTCGTACATGCCCGTTAATTCCAAAGCATGCGGTGTCACTCGAGTGGACTGGGGCGTCCCGGCAGAACCCCTGGTAGCGGGCATAAGATATAGAATCCGTCCACACGCAGACTGCATACAGCGCAAATTATCCAGATCGAATGCTCTCATAAATCTGAATTCCGTTGTACCTTGCGACATCGACTGATCGTTCACGTTGATCGCTTGGTTTTCCAAATCTGACAGCAGTCCACGGGCCGTCATGTTTGATCCCGGTATCTTGGACAATAAGACCAAACAATTCTTATACAGCAGCACCAAGGTCGCATTGGAGGCTGATTCCTGAGCGTCGCTCCGGTACGGTGGGAAGACTTCGTTCGAGTCTACCGCGGTAATCAACCGACCTGCGGGAACAACCGATGGTGGCCAGAACTCGACCATGCTCATCACTCGCCTCAAACTCCGGGCGTGATCGGTGTTTGCGGGGTTGTCTAACGAGCAGATGTCTTTGATGATATCTCGGGCCTTTAGAAAGGGCCGCACCGCCGGGTGGATAGCGGGAAGGTTGCTGGTCATGGTGTCGATCAGAAGGCTGTATCGAGGAAGGCGCTGCACTGGTTCCATCAGCAGTGACCGTAGTTTTTGCTCTCCAGTTTCATAGACCCTGCGAGAGAAACTCGATTTGCTGTCTTTTAGGAATGAGTTCAAGGTCTGGGTAAATCCGGTGTGGGCGCGCATGTACTCTGCGTACGGCTTGGAGAAGCGCGGAAACCATTCGAGGAGGGCATTCGCGAAGGCAATTGCCCCCATTGCATCCTTGCCATGCTTTGACAAGGCACGGCTCGAGATAGCTGCATGTAGATCTGTGTCCTCCGCCAGATCTGCAAGAGCATCCTGTTCCGTCTCCTCGAGGACTTGACGAATGACATCCAGGAAGCCCATGTTGACCTCCAGGATCTCATTCAGACAGGGTGGAAACAGTTTCGCCAGGGCAGATTCGTCCGGACTGGAACTGGAAGGGGGCTTGCTGCGGGCTTTCTGCCGAAATTCCTCCACGACATTGTGCACCAGCTCATAGAGCTTGCTGACATATCGTTCCTCAGTATCGACTACCTCGCACATCGCGAGGCGAAGGGATTCCTTTTGACTCCTGGTGAAGATCTTGGACTTGCTGAGATTGCTTGGCTGAGATGGCGCTCGTCGCAGACGGGAGGTTGGGAGGAAAATAGGATCTCCAAAAGCCTGGATGAGGGGAGAGAATTTCCCATATCGCTCATCATCGTGGTGGTCGTCGATTGCTTCTTCTGAGCCAGCGCCGTCCTGACCATTCCGTTCTGATTGCGGCAGAATCGAACCAGGAGGCAGCACAACGTCCACATCAATCCATGGAACCTTCTTCTCCCGATATGCATCTCGCAGATCGCGCACAATCTCCGCGGTATTCTCGATCTTGGTCATGCGATTTGCCAGATCGGCCGCATGGGTCTCTTCAAACATCTTGGGGGCCTTCCCAGACGGTTTCCCGGCCTTGGTGATCTGCACCAAGGCGTCCTTGACGGTGGGGGACAGCTCGGTGAAGTATTTCAGGATGCTGACGGCCAGCCCGCGGCATATCTCGTCGCCCTGTTTCTCGCGGGGCAGGTGGTTCACGGCGGCATACAAGGGCGCAGCGGGGGACACGGTGAGGCGAGGATAGCATTGGAAGCCGGCCGCGGTGAAGATGTGCGCCTGGATGCGGGAGCTGCTGACGGTCGCGTTGGCAGTCGCGACGGGGCCATGGAAGATCAGGACGGACGACAGGAAGGGATCGGAGGCGTGGTAGAGCGCCAGCTGCTCCAGCGGCAGGTCCGGCAGCGAGCTGGCGACGGTCGCCATGGCGAGGTGCTGGACGCGCCTTCTTTTCCTGGGTCGAAGGGGCGCTCAACCGCGGAAGGAGCTGGGGACCATCGGAGGTAAATAGTTAGGCCGCTGTGGTTGCCCGCCCGTTGTTTGGATCACCCAGCGCCGCGCGACATGAGTCACTTGCTCACGCCAGTTCGTCGGGGCAGCGAAGGGCAATGGCGCGTACAGGGCCCTCCATGCGGCCAACGCTGAGGAGAATAAGAATAGGCAGTGTAGGACAGAGGTGAGAGCGCTGCGGAGATGGTGGCGGCCGCGCATAGATGTATTGCCAGCACAGGAAGCGGCGCGAAGAGCGGGGCGTGCCAGGCCCAGCTCGAGCCCTCAGCAGCCGGAACTGGGCGAACCAGGGGGTGCGGGCGCCAAGGGCATCGCTCCAGTCTCTGGATCTGGCTGATCTGCCTACGACGCGGCTAGCACCGATTATTATTAATTAGCCCTGTTTGCGCTCTGCATGCCAGGCGAGACAGCACAGACATATATGGGGCGGCCAGATGGACAGGCACATCCCGAGCCTCTGGTTGGGCGCCGCCACGCGTGGATGGAGCGGCGGAACAACAAAGTAAACAAAGCGATTGGCGTGCTGGCCTGCTTTGTCCTGCCAACAATCCTGCGCTGCCCATGCAAGGGCCGGAGGGAACTCCTGAAACACGACCCCAGCGGCCTAGGCAGGTCTCCCTGCCCAAACGGTGCGCTGATGCAGCGGTGGCAGAATTATTTTCTGTCCTGCCCTGGCGCAGTGGATCCCAGCGCCGTTGCGGGCGCGAAATTGCCGATTCGCACGCACCACTCCAGACTCCAGAGTTGGGGATGATGTCCCCAGCAGGAGATCAGCTCTCTTAAGTTCTTAACTAGGCAGATTCCAGCATTTGCCGCCTGATCGTCAGCAGCCTAAATCGACTGCGATATCTGATACGTATATGCCGAACGCCTCCGCCGGAGCTGCATCGGTGGAGACTGATCGATCGCCCGTTGCTTGGAGAATGGACAATAGGAGAGGATTGGGATGTTGACTGACAGTCCCGTGGGATACCACTATCGACAAATAATTGCTCCACCGCTAACGGCTGCTAATACTCCGGAGTAAAAGCTGGGCTCCATGTTTCCAAAACGAGCAAGCTATGAAGTTTGCCGCCAGTCACAGTGCAATTCGAAGACTACTGTAGCACGGACTTAAGGACTCCAGATGGCTCCGAGTCCTACAATCACTCATTCCCTTGCAGATGTATCCATTCCTGTACGAGAATCTATTTACGTGCTCGCTATATTGATCCAGAGGAAGCTCCAAGAACAAGCTATAGCGTGAGTTAATACGCTCACCTTCCGGCATAATTGCAAATGCTCTCGCTCCGTATGTCAGGGCATGAAATTCGATGATTTGAAGCCAAGATCCCTCTTCCTTGCCCTCTATAGACTAACTCACACGATACATTGCACAGCAGCACAGAGACCGGAGAATAAGCCATTGATCCACGGCGAATAGAGGTTTCAGCCGATATGCCGCTAAACTACCGGTTCAGTCTTGTTGTCCTCTTCCAGTTATGCGTTGCTGAATCCAATCTGTGGTAGCAGGTAGTCCTCTCCGAGAATAAAAAGAATACACGTCGATGACTGCAGCAGGCTCGTGGGATAGACTGAGGAATCTATTGTAGCGGCAAAAGACTATTTTAGCAGGTTCTTGACACTGTAGCGCGAAACATGTGCGAGACAGAAAATACTGGTTGAAGCGCCGAAGACTCCTGTCGTTATCAGATGGAGTGATTCTATGCCTGAAGAGACTGAAGTTGTGCGGAGGCGGAGATGCAGCCAGGCGCTAAACCGCATCGAGCGAGTCGCGCTGCATCCGCCGACAAGCTTCGTGCTTACCGCCCGCGGACTTAGTGAATTGTGTACCAACTGTGCCGCCAGATGGCAGCTTTCTCTATACCCCATTCCCCCCGGACATGCCCCTCTGCCTCCCGCCAGCCCACCATGTCCGGCTCCTCGATGCCAATCTCCGTGGACCCAGTGGCCCTGGTGACCACCGAATGTATCACGGTCACCTCTGCCATGCGCAAACATGCGCGTTGGGCTCACTCCTCCGTCGCCGCCATCCTCGGCGGGAGCGGCGTCTCCAGATACGACCGCGATACCTCCGCCCCTCCCAGTCCCAGCCCTAAGAGCAGTGGCGCCTCCAAGTCTGCGCTGCCGCCCGCCGTGGATGGGGATCATGCATTGGCCAACCGATGGGGGTTGAGGGGAAAGAAAGGGAAGAGTATGCAGGACAATCCTCTCATGTCGGCATTCACACGCTTGCGGAGCGACCTCAAGAACTGCAAGGATATTCGAACCTTTGACACGCCAGCATTGCTGCATCCATTCCTGCAAGTCATCCGTTCCTCCTCGACGTCCGCGCCCATCACGTCTCTGGCATTGATTGCCATCACCAAGTTCTTTAACTACAACATCATCAACCGTGATTCACCCCGACTCTCGCTGGCAATGCAGCTGCTGTCGGCCGCCATTACGCATTGCCGTTTCGAAGCCAGCGACACCGCCGCCGACGAGATCGTGCTATTGAGGATCCTCAAGCTCATGGAAGGAATGATATCACGGCCCGAGGGAGAACTGCTGGGGGACGAGAGTGTCTGTGAGATGATGGAAACCGGATTGAGCATGTGCTGCCAGAACCGTTTGTCGGAGGTGCTGCGGAGATCGGCGGAAATGGCCATGGTCAACATGTGCCAGGTCATCTTCATGAGGCTATCGAACATTGAGGAGGAGCGAGGGCGTTCTAATCCCTTGGAACAGAAACAGCTGGATGAGGAAGCCTCCAATTTCAAGATGGACCCGTCTGTCGACGGAGACACAGTGACCTCCCAGCATCCGTCTGCCATGGGGTTCGATACCGCTCCGCAGGAGAAAGATCGCGTCGGCCGTGAAACGACCCCGGAACCCCCTACCAACGGCCACGCAGCGGCTGCGCCCCCAGGTGCAGAAGATGACTCGGATTCCGAGGTAAAACCGTACGGTCTCCCTTCCATTCGGGAACTATTCCGTGTTCTCATCGACCTTTTGGACCCGCATAACCGTCAGCATACCGACACCATGAGAATCATGGCTCTGAGGATTATTGATGTCGCCCTCGAAGTTGCGGGCCCGTCAATTGCCAGGCATCCCAGTCTGGCAGTTCTGGCGGAAGACGATCTCTGCCGTCACCTGTTCCAGTTGGTCCGTTCTGAAAACATGGCGATTCTGAATGGATCCCTCAGGGTTGCCGGAACCTTACTGTCGACATGTCGACACGTTCTGAAGCTCCAACAGGAGCTCTACCTGTCGTACCTGGTTGCATGCCTCCATCCTCGGGTTGAGATACCGAGAGAACCAGGGATTGACCCGTCACTTTATGAAGGCGTTCCCCAAGCGCCAAAATTGGTAAAACCACCTCCGTCGCAGGCCGGCAGCGGGCGATCGACGCCTGTCTCGGTCAAAGACCGACAGAAACTAGGCATGGAAGGCGGCACAAGGAAGCCAGAAGCTCGGGAAGCAATGGTGGAGAGCATTGGGGTCTTGGCCAGGATGCCCAGTTTCATGGTGGAGCTTTTCGTCAACTATGACAGCGAGGTGGATCGGGCAGACCTCTGCGAAGACATGGTCGGGCTGCTATCGCGCAATGCCTTTCCCGATTCCGCAACGTGGAGTACGACGAACGTCCCGCCTCTCTGTCTGGATGCCCTCTTGGGCTACGTCCAATTCATCGCTGAGAGGCTGGACGACGAGCCCAAATATGAAGGTTTCCCTGATCCTGAACAGCTGAGGAAGCAACGGCACAGAAAGAAAATCATTATTCAGGGTGCCACAAAATTCAACGAAGATCCCAAAGCGGGGATTGCTTACCTTGCTTCCCATGGTATCATTGAGAACCCTGATGATCCCGTCCTCGTTGCGCGGTTCCTCAAGGGGACGACACGCATCTCCAAGAAGGTTCTTGGAGAGTTTATTTCCAAGAGGTCTAACGAGCAATTGCTTGACGCCTTTGTCGATTTGTTTGACTTTAAGGGGAAAAGTGTCGTTGAGGCCCTCCGGGATCTTCTGGGGTCCTTCCGGCTTCCTGGTGAAGCTCCGTTGATCGAGCGAATCGTGACTGTGTTCTCCGAAAAGTACATGGCCAAAGCTGAACCCGCCGGTGTCGCAGACAAGGACGCCTTGTTTGTCCTAACGTACGGGATCATCATGTTGAACACGGATCTCTACAACCCCAATGTCAAGGCGCAAAACCGCATGACTTATACTGATTTTGCTAAGAACCTGAGGGGGGTCAATGGAGGTAAAGACTTTGCGCCGGAATTCCTCCAAGAAATATACGACTCGATCAAGCAGAATGAAATTATCCTGCCTGACGAACACGAAAACAAACACGCTTTTGATTATGCATGGAAGGAACTGTTGAAGAAGTCCGCCTCGGCAGGCGAGTTGGTTATCTGTGATACCAATATCTACGATGCGGAGATGTTCGAGGCCACTTGGAGACCCGTGGTCGCAACGCTCTCCTACGTCTTCATGTCAGCAACTGATGATGCAGTATACTCCAGAGTGGTCATGGGATTTGACCAGTGTGCTCAAATTGCGGCCAGATACGGACTCACAGAGGCCTTCGATAGGATCATATATTGCCTCGCTTCGATTAGTACTCTCGCAACTGACAATCCCCCCAACACGTCTCTAAACACTGAAGTCCAGGCTGGCAAGAAGACCGTCATGGTCAGCGAACTTGCCGTCAAGTTCGGCAGAGATTTCAGAGCGCAATTAGCCACGGTCGTTTTGTTCCGAGTCTTGGCTGGCAACGAGCATATGCTCAGACATAGCTGGAAATATGTCATCCGAATCCTCCACAACCTATTTATTAATTCCCTAATCCCGTCATTTGACGAAACTCTCAACGCTGAGCTCGAAATCCCTCCCATTCCCCTTCAGCCTCCTTCCCAAGTGGTGGAGCGCGATGGGCGCGGAGAAACCGGCCTTTTATCTGCATTCACCTCCTACCTCTCGAGCTACGCGGCTGACGATCCTCCCGAACCGTCTGATGAAGAGCTTGACAATACTCTGTGCACTATTGACTGCGTCGCTGCTTGCGGCATTAGTGACATCTTGAAGAATATGAAGTATGTGTTCCCCTCCACACCCCGTCTCCATCTGCTTATCCTAAATTCTTCCCGTACAGATCACTGCCGCTTTCGTCGCTCTCATCACTGGTAGATTCGTTATTGTCGGAATTGCCCGAAGAGAATACACCGGCCGTAATTGTGGTGAAACCTGAGCGCCCACCACCAGCAGCACCCAGGCCGCCCAGCAGTAAAGGCGATCTAACTTCTCCGACCTACAATCCTGGCATGGTCTACACTCTTGAGTTGGCTACGCTTTTGACGCTAAGAGACAAAGAGACTGTGGAGGCTGTGGGTGAAAACCTGGCCAGCTCTCTGCAAGGCCTCATTAGAGACGCAAGAAATCTCCATCCGCTTGTGGTCTCTAGAGTTGTATATTATATTATGAACCTCTTGCGTCTAAGCTACGTGAGTCTCTTGTGTCCATCCTCACAACCGTTGACCGAGCTAATTTCGATTAGGAACAACCTTTTATGCGTGTTCCTGTTGTCCTCCATGGTATCTCTAGTTTTGACCAGGATATTTTGGAGAGTTCAGCCACACCAATTTTGAGCGGGCTTTCTCGCTGCATCAACAGCTCTGGGGCGCTGCGAAATGAGATTATCGTATCCCCTGATTTCTGGTCGATTTTACAACGGCTGCATCAGCATGAGGAATCGGCACAGTTGGTTTTTGACCTGCTCCAAAGCATTGTCGATTCAAAACCGCCGGTGGTCTCCGCCGACAATTATGAATCTGCAGTTAGTCTTGCCAATGACTTTGCAACTGCTGGTAGTGTGGGCTCTGTTGAGGAGCGGAAGAGAGATGCTTTGGCGCGGAGACCAAGAGGCGCCAAACAAGAAAAAGTCAGGTACGTTTGTGTCACGGTGATTTCTTTTTCTATTTATCGAGGCTAACAAGATCAAGCGAGAACCAAACTGTGACTCGCGGTGTCAAGGCCATTGGTATAATTTACCAGATGACGGGACGCATTTCGGCTCTGATTCAGCAGTCCCACCTTGAGAAGCACGAAGGTTTGTAAACGCAGTAGGCTAGTTGGAAGTATTCATCCATCTGATACTAACTACTGCTATAGCTTGGGCTGCTTATTGGTCTCCTATCTTCCAATCCCTCACAATGCAGTGCATCAATCCCTGCCGGGACATTCGACATCACGCCATATCCGTCCTTCAGCGCACTCTGCTGTCATTGGAATTCGCCTCGGAAGATCAGAAGGAATGGACAGCCATCTTCGATGAAGTGCTGTTCCCTCTCATCCTGCGGTTGTTGAAGCCAGAGATATATCACTCGGACCCGGTAGGAATGAGTGAGACTCGTGTACAGGCGGCAACACTGGTCTGCAAGATCTTCCTGCGCTGCCTGGACCAGTTAGCTAACTGGGGCGGAATGCTGGATCTGTGGTTGAGGATTTTGGATATCCTAGACCGGATGATGAACAGCGGTCAGGGTGATAGTCTGGTACGTAACAGCGGACTATGCTCTATGCCATGACGGACAGCTGACTTTTTGTTTCTATAGGAGGAAGCAATCCCGGAGAGCCTGAAGAATATTCTCCTGGTCATGGCAGACAGCGGTTATCTAGCACCACCAGCACAGGATCCAAGCAAAGAAAAGATCTGGGTGGAGACCCGCAAGCGTCTCGAACGATTCCTCCCCAACCTCTTTGCCGAAATCTTCCCCAATCCTCCCCCTTCTCCACCCCGAGACAGGCCCACCAGCAGCCAGCAAGGCTCGCCGAGAACCCCTAATGGACATGACGACACTAACGATGACGATACCAAAACCAGCGAGAAGAAGTCTGATCCAAAACAATCAGACGGATCCACCACAGCCGCAGCAGCAGCAACAGCAGCAACAACAACCAGTCCAGATGATGTGGACTGAACTGTAAAAAGGGAAAGGAAGGAAGGATTCACGCCATGTCTTTTTTTGTCTTATATTTATTTTATAATGATCATCTATTTATCTATTAGCATCCTCACTGATTGATTGATTGAGTGGTAGCATCTTGTGTCTTTTTTTTTGATTAATGTCAACGTTAGAGAAGAAAAGCGCGTGCCCAACATACAGGCGTTTTCAATAGAAAATGAATGATGTAAATTTATTTATTTATATACTTTTCTTTTTTTTTTGGTGTATGTGTAGTAACCATCAATAATCGATTGAAATCGCTGGAGTGGTAGTTCTTTTCAAAAATCGAGATCTAGGTCCTCAGTTGTATGTAGTATGTATGTACGATACAATACAATGCAAATACTGCTATTAGCATCTTCTTTTCTCCCTTTCGCCTTTTTTTTCTTTCTTTACTCTCAAAAGTCAAAACAAACAAACAAAACGCCTTTCCTTTCCTCGCCTCATCTCGCCTAACCTAGACCTACCTACCTGATAATGTAAGTAATTATTATGATACAATCGACCTTGAATGAATGCAAAAGGACAACAGCAGCAGGAGGAGGAGGAGGAGGATTGAAGGAGGGCAAAAAATAGGGGAAAAAAAAAAAGAACCAAACGAATGTGGAAGCCATATGTGAAGAACAACGTCGAACCCCTCCCTGTCCGTCCGTATGCGAAGGTACATACAGTACAGGTTAGTACAAGATGCAATGCAAAGATGAATAGAATAAAGGATTAAAGTAGAATAGAATAGGAAGAATAATTTCAAGGAGTGGAAGGGCGGAAGGAAAGGATGGAGAAGGAGGATGAGGAGGAATGGAACGAGCGTATTAATAATGAGATATCGATATCATTATGTGATTGATAATGGAAGTACGAGAGAGAGACAGACGGATATCCAGGTATCTCGTTTGATTGGTTTAATTCGATCGAGTTTTCGCATGCAGTAATTTCCTCAGTAATGGCAATCTACTAATCCTTACTCTGCATCCATATCGTCATCCAGATTGATAGCATCGGGATTAACAGGCGCCGCAGGAGGCTGCTGCTTCTGCTGGTCTGCCGGCGTAGCCCGGGTGCCGCCTTCGGGGCCGGTGCTGGCAGCAACGAAACCCATCGGAGCTCGAGCCTGACGCTCCAGCGCTGCCATTGCGTCTGCCCGCTCTTTGTTCTCCTCTTCTCCCCCTTGGCCGGCTTCCTGAGCGCGCTGCTGCTGACTGCGGGCGATGGCCTGAGACGCGATGAAGTTGACATCAGTGCTGCAAGTTTGTTAGCTTCCATGAATAGTGTCTCACAAACGACTTGCTGTTACTTACTTGTACTGAGCCTGGACGCTTCTCTTGATGCGAAGCATCTCCTTGAAGGTGTCTTCGTTGCCGTGCTGCACCTCAAAGGCCTCCCATTTCTGCCAGAACTCGGCGTTGGTGCGAGGATCGCAGAATTGGGATCCGTGTCCGTAAATGGCACGTGCCCGATCGATCTCGCCCAGTCTTCTCTCCATCTCGGCAAATTTGAGACACATATCCTTGGCCTCCTTGTCGGGCAGAGTGGCGATGGCGCGCTCGTAGATCGGCCGGGTCGATGTCAGTCCAAAGTTCGACGCCGACTTGGTGATGTAAAAGTCGAACATCTCAAAGCGGTCCTCGTCGGCGACGGCTCGCGTAGCGCGCTCGTATATCCTCATAGCATGTCTCGCCAGACCACGCTCTTCCTCAAGATTACCGTACATAAGATACAGGGTCTTCGCGAATTTCGGAGGACATCCATCCAATGCTTGCTCAAAGAGATCCCGCAGTCTCTCGATACTGATCTTTCGATCGACGGCTTTGGTCAAATAAAGATTCCAAAGCTCGAAAGCCACGGGATAGCTGAAAAGATCCAGTCCCCGCTCGTAGACCTTGAAAGATTCCTCGAAATACTTGTGCTCCTCCAGAAGGTTCGCATAGTTAACAACCGTCTGGGGCGTAGCAATCCGGAGTTCGAAGATCCGCTCATAGATCTGCCTAGTCTCCTCCAGAGTGCCAACGCTCTCGACGAGGTCCACATAGAAACTCCACAACTTCCAGCTTTTGTGGACACGTTGCTGAGGGGAAAGGCTCTCATCGAAGTAGTCAACAGTAGATCGTTTCGGAGCTTGAGTCGCTTTCGCCATGATCTCGACGGCCCTATCAAAATTCTCGTGGCGAAGCTCCATTTCAGCCCACTCACACCAAGTATCTGCCAGCTCGGACACTGTCTTGAAAGGTACTTTGACCGCTTTGTCGAAAATCACTCTCGCAGTGTCGAGGTCCCCACCCTGCTCGTAGAACTTCGCATAATTGACCCAGAGCTCATGGAATTTGCCATGTGCCTTCTTAGGATTGATGGCGGCGATGGCGGCCGTGTATGTATTGACGACCTCAGTCTTATTATCACCCCACAGTGCGACCCTCTTTTCCCATTCGATGACGTTATTGGGGTTCTGCCGGAGGAGAACATCATTCACAAGGAACGGACGTCTATCCATGAGTTGCTCGAAACGTAACATGCGCAGATCGAGCTCAAAATCCGCATCCTCGTCGACTTTTCCTTTTTTGGAACGAGCGGCGGCTTGATCCATAAGATTGCTGATAACTGACTCCTCAAATTCGACATAGGAGTCAAAAATCATGGTGAAATCACGCACGGTCATGACGGTAGTGATGCCCTCCTCGAAGACGTCCCTAGCCTTTTCAAAATCGCCCTTCGCAATCCAATACGTGGCAAGGCCAGCCCAGAGCTTTCCTCTCTGGTCAGCAAATCGCTCGATCCCACTCCGAATGATTGCATCGACGTCAATTCCTCCGTGGGCACTAGTGTCGATTTGCTTCGCCTTAGAGACAAGCAAGTCTACCATCTCGCTCCACAGCTGGAAATGGCTCTTGCCTTCCTTTGACTGGAAGCGCGGGTCGTCGAGAATATCCATGTATTTTTTCACCGCCTCCGTGTAATGACCAGTCTCAACGAGCAGCTCAATGAACTCTTCCGCATTTTCCGGGTGAACCTGCATGTACCGCCTCCATATCTGCACTGCGGTCTCCCCGGACGCAGAACGGGCAAACGCCTTGTACAGCTTCCAAATACGATTGTGCTGGGTGATCGGCAGGGCTCGAAGGGCCTGATCGAAACAATGACGGGTCTGGGTCACGAGAGGCTGCTCAAGAAGGAACGAGAGGTACATCTCCCAGATCCGAGGCATCTTGTTGAGCAGTATGAGGGCCCGCTCAAAGAGGGAGTTGACCTTCTGATATTCTGCACGGTGAATGGCTGGGTTCCGACCGCGAAGGTGCTTGATCCGAAATTCAAGATACTGCAGTCGTATGAGTAAAAAGAAATCCCATGGAAGTGGATGAAGATACGTACCATCTTCCACAGCTTGTAGGACCGAGGAAGCTGCTTACAGGCGCGCTCCATGACCTTGGATCTCTTGTCAGCAGAGAGCCCTATCAACTGCCATGACATCACTTACAAATGCCTGCTCGTAGAGCGTTCCATGCTGCTGCTTATGCTCGATGTAGGACAGCCATGGCTTGACACTGCCGGGATCCCGGAGGATGTCCTGCTCGTAGATCGTATCCTCGTTCGACTATAGACCAATAAAGTCAGCCAGACGCTCAGAATACCCCAAATTGAACGATTACTCACGATCAGATAGAGATCCGGCTCGGAGGCTGAGTTTCGCTCCATCTGTGCGTGATGCCGGGGGGTTCTGGGAGGAAGCAAAGTCCCTGGCATTTTCGCCGCTTGACAAGGAGGGACTTCCCACGCACGGTCAACACTTCAACAGACAGAGAGGGGTGGCTGGGGACGGAGAGGTTTCTCGACGCGCCAGCAGTGAATGCCTCGAGGTGGGTTACTTAAAGCGTCGCGGGTCCCATCACGTGACATCAGCCATGCCGCATAGGGCTCCGGAGTCATACGTGAACCGCCAACAGTGACACGCCATGTCGGGTGGTCCAAGCTTCCCGCATATCGACTTATCGTCATGGCAGACGACGCCTGAGAGGCGGCAGTCCCTTTATTGGAAGAATTGTCGCATCCAGCACTGCAGCCATGTCAGGCGCCGTAGTAAGTCTTTCTTAAATGTCTAATAAAATAATAATGGAAATTTTATTTACGCCGTTGTCATCCAGGGCCGCGAAGCTGTCTTTCCGACCCGGCAGTCGCTGGGGTTGATGAAGAGCAAACTCAAGGGCGCAGAGACGGGCCACAGCTTGCTGAAACGGAAGAGTGAAGCTCTGACAAAGTATGGTCTTGATCAAGGATCCAAAATGAATTGCTACTGACTGGGGATCTCGCCTGCAGACGATTTCGCGGTAAGCTGAAACACCAACAGCGCTACTTCCCCGCATTCTAGATGCTGATGCCCCGATGAAGAGATTACGCGACGGATCGATGAGGCAAAGCGGAAGATGGGACGTGTTATGCAGATTGCTGCATTCTCCCTCGCCGAAGTGAGCTATGCTGTCGGCGGAGACATTGGCTTCCAGGTCCAAGAATCCGCCAAACAGGCTCGATTCCGTGTCCAGGCGAAACAAGAGAACGTGTCCGGTGTCCTTCTTCCTCAGTTCGAGAGTATCATTTCAGAAAGCAGCAATGATTTTGGATTGACCGGTCTCGGAAAGGGAGGACAGCAGGTGCAACGGTGTCGGGAGACATATGCTAGAGCAGTAGAAACCCTGGTGGAACTTGCCAGTTTGCAGGTGAGTTTTTTTAAGGGCATTGGAACTTTATCACGTCTAATTGGAACTGCAGACGGCCTTCGTTATACTGGACGAAGTTATCAAGGTCGTCAACCGAAGAGGTATGTTCTTCTCTTCGTACCTGTACCAAGTAATGACTTAGCTAACTTTCAACTACAGTAAACGCGATGTAAGAACAACAGCTACATAATGTTTTTGTGGATACGTCACTAAATTCCGCTTTTAACAGCGAACACGTCATTATCCCTCGTACCGAGAACACTATTAAATGTACGTCTCGCATCATGCCATTGATTGCTGGAGATTTACCGACTGACACTTCCCCGTCAAAGATATCAACTCGGAACTGGATGAGCTCGACAGAGAAGAATTCTACCGACTGAAGAAAGTCTCCAACAAGAAGCAGCGCGATAACGCCGCTCAGGACGCCGAGATTCAGGCGAAGCGGCAAGAGCAAGAACAGGCCAAGAAGGAAAACGGCGCCGCCGCCGAGGCCGACAAGGACCAAGCGCCCACCGATCTCCTAGCACAGGAGGAGGATCAGGATGTCATATTCTGAGCGAGCAGAAGTCCGTGGTAATGGTATATTGGGATCAACATTAATGTTATTGTACATGTCCTCGTATTCATGAATTTGTGGCGCAAATGAGCCAGGATGCTTTATTTTTCTTTTGTCTCTCTGTACCGCAATGTATTCATTTCAAAGCAAAGGAAAGCATTTTCGCCACTGCGAAATGAAACTGTGAAAACCTCCTGGTCCTCGGTATCATAATCATATAGACTCTCCGAGCCAAAAACAAGACAGCCCAAACAAAACACCACGAAACGCCGTAAAAAAACCAATAACTGAATATAGAAACAGAGCTTCCCTTATTGTCTCTGATAGGTGACCCGAATCGGCCTGCCACTGTCCCCCATCGGCATCCCCGACGTCGCCTCCTTGGCGCTGATAGCACCCGACTCGTTCTCGTACTCGACGAACGCGATTCCCTTGCGGCCCGGTACCAACCGCACCTCGCGGAAGCCTTCGAAGCGGCCGAAGACGGAGATAAGGGTCTCCGAGTCGATGTTGTCGGGCAGATCTCGGAGGAACAGGATCTTGTTCGGCGGAAGGTATTCGTCGGGGATGACAGGAGCAGCGGCCGCGTTGGAGGGCTTGAGTCCAGCGCCCCGGGCTGCTTTCGCTGGACGACCGGATTCGGCCGGCCCAGGGCCAACGCCGGCGGGACGCTTCAGCTTCTTCTGCGCCTCGAGCGCTTCCTGGGCTTGCTTTCGTTCTGGAGAGAAAAAAAGAAAAGGAAAAGAGTTAGCGATAGATCAAAGACGCCGCACGCACACTTATACAATACATACCCTTCTCAGCCAACCGCCTCCGCTTATGCACCTCCAACTCCTCGGGCCCCCCATCCTTCAAGACCGTCGCATCGCTCCTCGTCTTCGCATAATCCAACACCATCGGCTTCCCGAACAGGTCGAAACCGTTGATCTCCTCGATGGCGCGCGCCGCGGACTCGACGTTGTCAAAGACGACGAACGCCTGGCCTTTCGCCTTCAGGTTCTTCTTCGCGACAATATCGATAATCTTGCCATACTCGGAGAAGATTGTGGTGAGGGCCTCCTTGATCTCGTCGATCTTCATTCGTTCTTCGAGGTTACGGACCTGTAGAAACAGACAGAAGGAAAAGGTTGTGGTCAGCTAAGGGTGTCGCATGTGTGCGAAAAACCGAGTTTCAAGTAAGAAGTTGGGGATTACCAACGTAGACCCTGTATGTATTATTGTAACAATTAGCTTTTCTGATCAGCTTTGGCTTATTAGACATTGTCGAAAAAAGGTGGAACTTACGTGGGATTGGGAGGAAGTCCCGTGGGAGACACAGCTAGAGATGTCATCTTGATCTTGCCAAGGTAGTTGTTGAGCGCCGTATCTTGTCTTGTGTTTGAGGCGCTGCGAAGGTATTCTATGCGGCGGCGTCTGGACTTTGGAGATCCCGCTGATATCGAATTGAATTGGATGGCCAAGGATAGAGTTCCGGAGCGGAAGCTATTTGCATTGTTTGTATGATTTGCATATAAGCCGGTGCTATACGCTGTTTGCCAACAACAAGCATCGTTGGTCTAGTGGTAGAATTCATCGTTGCCATCGATGAGGCCCGCGTTCGATTCGCGGACGATGCATTGTTGAATTAACCATTTCTTTTTGCTTTTTTTTTCGGCCCCTTTCTATCCAACAATCACGGCTACAAAGCCAACTTGAAAATAAATAGTGCTAGGACAGGTGACACTTTTCTGACTACCATCAATTATTATTCTTTTTCTATTTACAGAACCGAGAAACCGGTCATATTCTAGGCCGCTTGCAGCGACAACTCAGATCTGACTTTCTCAGCCGCACTCTTCAATTGCTTTGGCTGCGCAGACCAGTCCTCCATCTTTACGGTCCTAGATTGCGTCTCCATAAACAGGCAATCGGCAACAATTGTCCGGATCTTATTTTTGGTTTTACTATTAGCGAACATTCTGCCACCGTCTTTTGTGATTAAAAACATACCTTCGGGTACGGATGTAAAAGCATGCTCGTCAGCTTCTTCAAGACGTCTATTCTAATGGACTCGACGCGGGATAGCGCTGCGTAAACTCTGATCGCAGTCTCGAGCCGTGGAATGTTCGATGACTTATAGTGTGCTTTTTGGACAAGGACAAAGAGCTTCCGCAAACTGCGAGAGAGGTTAGGATACAGTTTCGAAGTTAGTCGCGACGTAGACAAACCTCGTCTCTAGACCAGTCGCTGCCAGGGGCAAGCAGTTATCGAGCAAGAAGCCAGCAATGTCCATAGCCGGGATTGCGTAACGGTCATCTGCAAGGTTCTTTTCCAGAATCGTTGCCAAGTCTTCGATAAGTCGAATGGTCCACACGCTTTTTTGGTCGCCCATGTTCTTCTCGATGAACTCGACCATGGCTGAGCGCGATGCGCGAATCAACCCTTCTGTTCCTGCACTTGCAGAAGTTATAAGACCTTGAACCAGTGGAACTCGGAGCCATTCGACCTGTAAAAGCTCAAGAAGCTGGTAAAAGTAGTCCACGGACGAAACCTGGCTAAAGTGCTCGTAGCGCCTTTGCGAACAGAAACTCAAGTTAGCCATATGATCAACAAGTGGGTTATCACTGGTACAAGTTCCTACCTTTGCAGTGGCGGCAAATCTGGTGCAGATTCCCAATACTTTTGCAAACAAGCCCACGCTTGGAATCGCACTTTATCAAGCTTCTCAACGGCGAGACGGCAAAGGCAACCGATAAGATCCTGAACGTATGCTGGCCGTGGCATGCCGTGTTGCCTGTCGAGAATGATTTCCACTGCCTGAATTGCCTCGATTCGTATAAACGATCCAATATCTCCTCGACGATCGGTAGTGTAATCATTTAAGAATCGGATAAAGTGGCCAGCAATGGTGTCGGACACATCTGGAGCGATTTAGTCCCTGAAAAGCGCAGTGGAGAGGAAAGACGACAAACCTATATGAGGTAAGACACCTGTGGCTAAGCACCTAACAGCGGAGACTCTCTTTTCGATTACTTCTTCTTCCGTCGTGCAACGAAGTAACTCTTCTATGATGGAATTCCTTCCACTGCTATTGACTGGAAGGTGGTGGAACACAGCACCAAGGGCGGAAACTTGGCCACGACCAGTTGCGGACTTCCAACTGGCATGAATGTTGGCAAACCAGCCCTGTATCGTTTCCTCCTGCTTCCAAGAGGGTAGAATTTGGAGTAGATTGGAAGCTGCTTCAGACGATGCTTCGATCGCCGTGTCTTCACCGCGGAATACGCAGAGTAAGAGGATATCGAGTGCTTTCTCGAGCAGTTGGGCAGGCACCTGTACTTTGTTTGATTCTGCAGCACGAGAAAGGGAAGCTATAAGACGTGACGATGCTTCGGCAGTAAGCTCAGGGCGACCGGCCTGGAGAGTTAGATCCTCCTTAGTTGGGCCAAACGGTGAATCGAAGATATCCCAGAGACGGGAAACTTCCGTGGAGACTGCATCTGCATCCGGGTCATTATGAGTTTCGCTTCTGGTCTCACGATGTTGAATAAAGGCGTCAACAGTTGCGGCTATTGCTAAGAGACAACCGTGCCTCGTTTCCACATCATTATGAGGGATATTTGAGAGTCGTAGACGGAGGCGTTGGAGGACGATGTTGATGGTTCGGTAGGATTCCTGAAGACTCAATTCACCAAGTGATGTTGCAGCCATCCTTCGAGACTCGGCGTCGGCTGAACCAATACCTCTCCAAAACAGCAGAGAATTCACAAGAGGACTCCAATAGATACGATCAAGGGCTGCTGCTGCCTTGGCGACTTCGATCATTGCTCTCGAGCGGCGTGCCACAGCATGATAATCAACGACCTGAACCAACGGGATGCCTTCAAGAATGGTGTTTGGATGGCGACCAATGAGTTCTTGTAGTGCAGCAGAAGCACCCCGTCGAATGTTGCCGGCAGGGTCAACACAAGCAGAACAAACCAACTCAACAGCAAGCATCTGCAACACGCTCTTCTCGTCTTGTTCCGTTGGTAATTTGACGGCCGCTGCATCTATAGCCTGAAGTTCCTTAGTCGTGTACTTCCGTGCCAAAGCCCAGATTCCAAAGCACGAGCCATCTCGAACGCCAGTGCCAACGGAGCTCCCAGTAGACGACCTCTGTTCGAAATCCAGTCCAGACACAAGCGATTGCAAAATTTCCGGAAGTTGGCGGGGCGGAGGAGCCCGGCGAAATAGAAGGTGAGACAGTGTGAGAATGAGACCTTGCCATCTCTGTGCATCGACAGCACTGAGATTGCGCTTCAAAGACTTCATATTCAGCTTCTGTGCCTCAAAGGCGGTCACTAAAGTGCCGTCACTCTTTTCGTAGAGTATGTTCTCGTCCAAAGATCCGATAACGGCTTCAACCACTTCAGCAGCCATTTCAGGTTCCAGTTTGAGCGTAACAACAGCGAGGGCCTTGCTTGCTGCAAATCGCACGGGGGTATCTTTATCTGCGAGTGCCACGAGGAAATAATCAATAGATTCCTCCAAAATGGACGAGACCTTGTCATCCGAGATTCGACCATCGCCCCTTTCTGCAATAGACAATGTCAGGGTTGTTAAAGTCCGAAGGATCTTGATTAGCATTTTTCGAGCTGAGGCCGAAGATCGAATAGTCTCAAAGACACCAGATTCCCCTTGAGCAATGCGAAGGATTTTATCAAACATTGGAACCACGAGCGGAGCGAGATCGTCAACCTGTCCTGAGACTCCCAATCTCGCAAGGAACGACAAGACTCCTATGCAGGTATAGGCTGGAGGAGATTCTGCCTCCGATGATGGCTGCATCACAGAGAATGCCCAATCCGTGAGAATATTCAAAAGGCCGAGGCGTTGCATGTCCGGACGCAGCACCAATCTGGCAAGGAGCGTAGTAGCAGCCTCTCTTTCCTTCGCAGGAGTAATGACGTACCGGAGGGATATGGAGAGGATTGCTTGCGCGATTCTCGGTGTGTTTGGAGGAACTGACTTCAGAATGGCTAGATTGTCGTACGGAATCGGTATATCGTCAGATGCAATGGATGCCAGATCAAACGGAGCAAGCAGGAGATGCGATAGCCACATAAGCATCACGTAACGCTCCTCCCAGATGAGAGGTTCCACATGGACCTTGGACGACGCGTCGGTTTGATCGTCAGCGACGACCGCATCCCACTCGATGAAGACGCGAAGCATAAGCTCCAGGTACTTGGGCTCATTGTTCAAGAACCGGCTGATGACTTTGACGCCGCGAACCTTGCAAAAGGTGTAAAGAATCTTGCAGATTGCCCTCGGCAGTGGGTAGATAGTGGTGAGAGTAGGAGCGTGACCTCGTCGAGAGCCATATTGGTCTCTATACTTGATCAAGTAGGCCAAGAATGCCTCAACCAACGGAGGCAGGAAGTTCTGCAGATGGGGGTCCAAAAGCTGAGGCCATTCTTGGAAACGCTCCAGCTGTATGTTTGAAATAGAAAGCAGTGTCAGTAAATTTGTTGATTCGATCTTCATCGACAAGAGTAAACAGAGTAGACAGGATAGGCAGTCATACCAGTTCGATCAACCTGTTCGTCTTCGGTGATTGGGCCCATCGGTGCACGACTCCCTTAGCTTGCCCACTCTGACCCCGCGACTTCCACAGAAGCGGATGCAATTTCTCCTCAAATTCCTTCAACAGATCGCCAGAGGCGCGTTGAAGCTTAATATCTCGGTCGTCGGGAGCATCCATATGGGCGACTGTATTCTCAAGAGCTTGATGCAGGATGCCAAGAGGGGATGTATCGTACCGTACAGTATCGCGGGGATCACCCGTGGACCGTCAACCGTTTGCCCCGTTTGGGCATGGGCACTTCCAGCCACGTGATGGGCCCTTATCGGAGAGCTTATCCAGACCTTATCTCAGTCGCGTTGGCACTTGTGAATACTCCAAGTGCGATGATGATAACTGAGTGTACGGTTAGATTCAGCAATCCACATCGAATTTGATCTTCTTGAACACCCGGTTATCATCATCACACTCGGGGTATTCGCGAGTGCCACGCTTCCGCTTCAATGGGCGAGTTTGTGGAGAGCCCTCTCCCCGCGGCCTCTCGACATCTACAGGGACATCCGTCGCGAATGGCAGTGCAAGGTATGTTGATTCTTGCAGATGAACCTGACCGTTCGCTACAGGTGCCTCTTTAAATGTCGGGGGGTCCGAGAGGAACGGCGCTGAGGCGCTGCAGTTGGCGGCAATGATTATCTGCAGCTGCCTGTCCCTCCGCCCCTTTGCGGCCAATCTCTCCAAACTCGTGTAAACGCGGACCTTTCTCTTGAATCCTCCACGTATAGGAGAGATTGGCCAGTAAAGTGGATTGCGGGGAGAGGGCCCTGTCACCAGAGACCTCTTGAAGGGTCTTTTAGAGGGTCTTGGTTGATTTCCCCTTTGGGTAGGCAGGGGAGGACGCTTGAACACATGGGCTTGAACCGCTTGTTGCGGTTGGCGTCTCTCAAATGGCCAGAGAGACGCCAGGCATTGGCGAATTTTTGCGAACATTGTTGTAAAGTTGGGAGAATGATGAATATGGGAAGAGTATGGTGTGAGGAGAGTAAGGGAGTTTGGTTTTGCTTCAAAGACTCATGTAATGTGTGAGATGAGAGTTGTTGGTGAGAAAAGAGAAGGGTCAGCCATTTTGACCTTGAATTTATTGTCTGAGGGCTGTCTGGACGCCAGATCTGAATCCACTGTTGAATGCTATGAATGGCTGCCAATGCGGCATACCACCTGCAGTGAAGTGAAAACAGCACGCAGAGTACCTAGCCTAAGTAGGCGGCATGTAGACAACCTTTCTTCAAGAGACTAAGTAAAACAGACATTGAAAAGTTGATGACTTCTAGAATGAATCAAGCTATTTGACTCTACATGTCCCAGAAAAGAAAATCTTACAGAAGTCGCCATGATGTCAGATAGATTTCCTATGTAGAGTTTGTTAAATTTTTTTGTACTGTTAAAAGACTTATGCTAGCTGATAGATCACAGGCAGGAACTGACTCCTCGGGGGCTGAAGCTGAAAAGGGGTTAAAAGAAAGGGACAAAAAGTCGACTCCAAGAGACATGAAAATCAGATGTCGTGTTTTTATTAACATAGTCATAAATTATAAAGGATAAGACACAACAAAAGCATACTCGCACGACTCCACAAATTAATTTGTCATCACAGCAGATTGATCAAGCAAAATCGGCAGTGTAGGAGAAGCCACGGAACTCCTCCTGCATAGCCTGAGTGAGGACTGCAAAAACAAAAATGTCAGTAGACGATCTAAAAAACGATATAGAAGAGTCAGGACTTACCAGACTGTACGGGGGTGAGAACAGGTGTGACGCTGGTGAACTCCTGGTCGAAGTTGCTGGTATCGGTTGGGTTGCTGATGGTCGGAAGGAATGGCGGAGTGACCCGCTTGTGGTAGACATCGTCCCAATTGATGTTTCTGAAGAAGGCATGCGACATGATCTCTTGGGCATCGGTTGGACCGGAGCCAAGGCGAAGTTCAGGTTCACGGGTGAGTAGCTTCTGCAGAATAGAGACCGAATCCCGAGGCATATGAATGGGGTAAAGTGGCTCATCCGCAAGAATGGCGTCGTAGATTTCATCTTCATCTTCGCCACGGAACGGAGACTGCTGAAGCAACATTTGGTAGATGAGCACACCAAACGCCCACCAATCGACCGCTCTGCCATATTTCTTATCCAAAAGAATCTGAGTTCAACTGTTAGCGAATACCACATATCTCATACGCGTCGCGCTGTTGAATCTTTAACATACCTCAGGCGCCATGAACTCGGGCGTACCGCAGAATGTGCTCGTAGTGCAGCCATACCACATATCCTCCTTGCAGAGACCGTAGTCCGCAATCTTGATGTGGCCGTCCAGGGTGAGCAGGATATTGTCGAGTTTCAAATCACGGTAGATGACTCCATTCTCATGGAAGTACTTCAGCGCCAAGCAGACTTCCGCAGCATAGAACCTACATGGATTTCAGTCTTAGCCAATTCAATCGAAGCTACCCAGGTAGGCAGAGGGACTTACTGTGCCCGTTTCAAACCAAATTGGCCGCGCTGGATGTGCAACATCAGGTCACCACCGCTGATGTATTCCATGACGAAGTAAATACGGGTCTCCGTCTGGAAACAGGCGTGCAAGTTCAGCAAGAATGGATGACGGTCTTTGTTGGCGATGAGGAACACCCGTTTTTCCGACTTGGTACTCTCGACTTCATCATTCTCGATGATGAACTCCTTCTTAAGAACCTTGATGGCATAAAGCTTCTTCGTGTTCTTGGATTCAGCAAGCATGACCTTTCCAAAGTTTCCTTTTCCAAGGACAGCAAGGAAGTTGAAATGATCGAGCCCAATTTTCTGTTTTTGCTGAGGTTGCTCTTCGAGTTGAGACGACTGGGCAACGAGCTGCTGCTGCTGTTGCTGTTGTTGCTGCTGTTGCTGCTGCTGGAGTTGTAGTTGTTGCTGTTGCTGTTGCTGCTGCTGTTGCATCATGTACGGAGGAGCAGCTTTCTGGACGGCTTGTGTGGGAGGTGCTTGCTGCGAGGAGATGGCTGCATACGCCGAGGGATCATAACGAGCATGTTGTGGCGGTTGTTGGGGTGACATCTGACGAGGATCTGCTTCAAGGTCCGTCAATACACAACGCACGCTTGCTTAAAGTACACAACAAATAGGAAAGGTTTTGAACATACCCTGTCCTTGCTGAGAAGGTGGACGCATACCCGTAGCAACCGCCGCTGCTTTGGCTGCCGTATCGGCCGACGATGGCCTTTGTGCCATTTGGTGTCTTTGGGCAGCTTGAGGGGACTGAGGAGGCATATAGGAGTTGTTTGCGGCACTGACTGCCTCAGCAGATGGCTGCCGGGGAGGTGCACCGTAACCAGCTTCCACCTGCTTTTGAGGCACAGCTGGAGGCGCTGGCTCCTGTGATGCAGCACCACGAAGATTGCGGTTGCTCATGGATGCCGTCTTGTTGTGGTTTTTTGTTCTCATTATGGTCTCCAAGATCTGGTTGGCAGCCTCCATTGACATGCCACAGAAGTCAGGAACGAGGTGAGCGCATTGGGTATGGCAAGTAAGGCCACATTCTACACAGAACAATAAGTACGAGTGGTGATGCACAAAAAGGAAGGGAAAAATGGTTACCTGAACATTTCTTCGCATTCTTCCGGCCAAAAGGAAGCAGATATCCACAATGACAGCACCAATTGGCAGAGATATTGGCAAAAGTTTCGAACCGATGGGGAATGCGGTGATTGATCTTCTCTTCATCCGGATCGGTCTCGTAGTTGGCCTTGCTGATACACTTGGTGACCACTTTGGGATAACACTTGCGGTGGCAGGTGTACTTGCAGTCGGCGCACTGCATGCCAGCAGCGTACTTCAAGAAATCACCGCAAAGAGCACAGCGCATAATATTGTAGAACTGTTGTGTGACGAACTTGTGACCTTGCTTCTCGTGTACCTCTTCTTTCTTCTGGCGGACAGCTCCTTGTCGATTGAGACCGATGTCGAATGGTCGTCGATCCTTCAATTGCTTGGCTACAGGGGTGGTCAGCGGAGACGGATCCTAAGAGGAAAACTTGAATGGACTTACCAAAGCTCATCGTGAGATGGATTCTACCCGCCGGCTCCAGCGCGAACCACGACTCAATCATCACAGGACCACCAGACTGGGAGCCGGGGGCGCTTTGTCCTGGAGGCCCCGGACGCGGCCCGCCTGGGTGTTGACTCTGAGGACTCATGCCCGTATTCGAATCTGGCCGCGCAGGTCCTTGGGTCATCTTGTCGGCAGAAACCCAGCCGGACGCGTTAAATTCAGATTCGATCTTCTTTCGCCGCATTTCCTCCGCGATATCCGAGATCCGAATCCAAAGCAGGCCGATGGGAGTTGGTCGATCACCGGCCTTGTCATATACGGTAAGCTCGATTTCATTCGCCTTATCGATCTCGATATTGAAGTTTTCTTCCGACCATTTGTCCGTTCGGGTGGACCTGGTTCGCGCTTTTACGGTGTCTTCGACCTTGACGACAACGAAAGTTTCCGGACCTCGAGAGAAGCGGGAACTTGCTGCATGGTCGACATCTTGAACGGCATGAATGCGCAGAGTCAAGAGACCGGTGAGGGGCTTGCGCATGTTCGGGGTATTTAAGCTGCTATCTGTATCAAGGTCAGACAACGATCTGCAAGAGACGTAATGCGAGGAAGCGCACCATCACCCTGGTCTTCTGATTCGATGTCAACATGAAGATCCTCATATCTCTTCAAAGCTTGCTTCAGCAGCTGGATCTTTTGGTTGCTCTCGATGCGACGTCCTTCCGCATCTGCGCGGCTCTTTCTATCGCCCTCATCCTGGTAGAGGCGAACCATCTTCTCAATACCGGCCTTGTATTGTTTCTCTACGCTAAGCTTGAACTCCAGCTGCGACAGCATGAGTTGAATCTTAGGGCCCAAGTAGGGCGTGTCATACTTAATCAAGTCTTAAAAAGCGAGACACACGATTAGCACACCCCTGTGGGACGAAGAATTGACAATATGCAAACATACCGAGTTTACTATAATTTGGTCTTGCTTTGGGGACCGGGGCGAAAGGCCGAGGATCCGTATAGGGCGCATGCGAGGGCATCGAGCCAGTCCCCCCCTGACTGTATCCACCGGGGCCCGCCTCTCCGTATTCAGCACTCTCGCCGGAGAAATAACCAGGAGCTGTGTCTTTCGGAGGCGGGGTTGGAGCAGAATCGTATCCGCCAGAGCGGCGCTGCTCGCTGGGAGAACCGAGGGGAAGGGGAGGCAGCTGAGGGGGGCCACTTTCCTGGCCCCTCTTCCGAAGCTGCAGCTCCCTCATCTTCTCCTCCAGATATGCAATGTTCTTGCGACCATCACGAATATTGGCATCGACTCTCTGTTGGACCAGAGGATTGTCGGTGGACTGTCTCATGTTCGTCGCCGCAGCGATAAGGGCCTTCTCCCGCTCGATCTTGCGGTAGACCGAGGCAATCAACTCGTCTCCATTGTCCATTTTGGCGGCTCGTCCGGCGGGACGATGAAGCTAGCTTGCAAATCTCACAAGTCGGTCGCGCTGGGGGGAAATCAGTCAACGGTGATGGTCGCGTTGTGGTGGAGGGGTCAAGGCGGTAACGCACGGGGAACGAAGGGAAGATAACACCTGTAGGGGCGCTCACCGACCGCGCAGTCGAGAACCGCGCACCTCACCGTCGAATCTGTTCTGAGTCACCGTTCTAGGAGGATGGAAGATCAAACTCAGCACGCTGACGATCTAGCAAAATCGGTCTGGGATGCCCGAGACATAGACTCGCGACCCGTGCTTATGGGCAGTGTCTTGTCAGGCAGCAGAACGTGCACGGAGAAAGACCATTAGCGCATCGACAGGGGAGAACAAGAGGAAGGAACAGGCTCGCGTTCAGCCTACAGAACCTGGCTGTCTGCCTTGGAAAAGGATAAGAAAAAAAGGGCAGCAGTGGTTGCTGGAGCCGACACTGGCAGGATGGTTGGGGGTGCTGCTTGGGGGATGCGATAAAGAGGGGAACGAGGAGCCGCAAATGGTGGGGAATAATCGCGAGAGTTCAAGTGTGTCGGGGTGCTGGAGAGCGAGAGGAGAACCTCAGGACGGGCGCCGGCTGGCTGGCGGTGGCGACCACGGTCGAGCACGCAGTCAACCCGCGGTTCTCCTTCTTCTAAGACACCTGATGTCACCAAAATTCCCCTTTCCCTGGCAGCCTCGAGCATCCTCAGTCACCCATTATTAATGACCGAGGCGACGCTCGCGCTGCCCTCGTGCTCACCTGATTTTGGCCCAAGGGCGGACAGGACGCGTTCTGGACTCGCCCGGCAAGTTCCACCGCCCGCCCGACGCATCCCACGGAAAATTCTTGTGCTTTCTGTTGCGGGCGAGCGAAGCTACGGTAGCTATTGATCTGCACGACGTGGGATTGGCATCGAGGCTATTGATCAGCTTTGGGGGCAAAAGACCGGTTAGAAGAATCAATAGTCTCTATCTTATTCTTCTATAGATCGTCATTGTGCCAGAACGCTTCGCCATGCCTAGCTATTTACCTGGTACGGAGTCATTTCATGCGAAAATCCTACCTCTTCCATATATCGGTTTTATGCCTAACCTCCCGCCGCTCCCCCACCAAAACCCTCCTGCATCCTCGCCCCGTGCTCTGCGTGAACCCAATTTTAATCCTCTATTCTACTCAATGCACTTCAACCCGCAGTTTGGGTTTTGACGCCGTCTCGAATCTTCGTAATATTGATCCAGATAGTACGGTAAAGATTCACAAGGCGATGGTGACGGACTACTATAAGATCTAAGGAAATATCGCAGATGAAATGGGTTTTACTAGTAGTATATGTCATTTATCTGTCCTGCTAGCACCTTATTTCTCTGAATTGATTTTAAATCCTACAAATACTCTACGTTTAAAAGGGCTATGAGTTCAGTTCCATTTGAATTACAAGCTATTCTTCCATACCCTTTGTGTCAGCTAGACTTGATATTAAGAAGCGAAGAGACTTTATAAATCTACTATACCCTTGCTGGCAGTCAATTATTGGCTACTAGGGAAATTCTCAATACAGAACGTAATAATAACCTGATAATTACCAGGAACATTAGATCAAGGAGCCTTTCCAGATCCTAAGGATTTCTATTTCTGGACACCATTGTGGCTGGCAGCCGGTAAAGGGCATGCCGAGGTTGCGCACTTACCCCTTCTGCGCTTGACCGATAAGGTATGTAATTTGATGATTATCACAGTAAGATTCCGGTCATTATAAAAATATTTTCCTGAATAAGAGATTCGACCTTTGCGAGAAAAAAAAAGTCTCGTGAGATATTAGATTATCCCCGCCTGTATCTGAAGAAATATATCGCAATATCACTCCAACTCCATCTCTAATAAAGAATTCTCTATGCTGCGAATAACGGAGACGTCTATCCCAACTCTCTATAGGCGTAGAAAGGATATTAGTAACCGTCAATCCCATAACCAGACCCGTCTAAGGTCCACCATTGCCAATATTCCCAATAAGAAAGCCATCACATCATTAGGATACGTCACTCATTCCAAGTCCTCTATCTCCGGGAATGCCATGTCGTCAGCAAGGTTCTATAGTCTATCGCTTTATTCGGACCGCTTCACAATTCTCGGCAAGCAGCTCCAGCTCGCGAGCATTACGCCGTATAACCCCAAGCAGATAGGATGCAAGGCCACAATGCCAACATGCTGGGCAAGAAGACCAGTGAGGAACGGCGCAGCCGCTCCACCACTGCTGCCCAATGCGCTGATGAAGCTCAGACTCGAGGTCTGGATGCTTCGAGGAAGCAGCTTTGTGAACACGGACGTTGCGCATGGATAAACCGGCCCCAGAAGCAAACCCAGAACCGCCACGGCGACTGCCTCTCCGAATATGTTCGGGATGAGCCAGGCAAGCAGCTGGAAAGCGATGGCACCTGCAGTCAGGATGACGACAGCGAGTTTCTCTCCGATCCTATGGGCCGGGTGTGAGAGAACGAAGCGCCCGACGGTGATGCCAGCCCAAAATCCAGAACTGACATATCCAACCCTTGACGGGTCACCCTTCCGATAACTGATCAGGTACGACACAACCCACCCCGAGATGGAAACCTCGGCACCTTGATATGCGAAGATGTACAAGGCTCCCAACAAGGTCGGCCTGTTCTTGATCGCCTTCTTGAGATGATTCTTCTTGGGTGCATCCTGACGTGATGCCGTCCGCTGAAGGGCAGTAAGGAGCTGAACCGGCAGATCCTTCTCATACCCTTTGAAGGACCACCCCGCCAATACCAGGTTGCACATAGTTATCCAAAGATTGATGATATAGAAATAAGACCATCGGATCCCATGGGCTGCCAATGCGGTGGCAACCAATGGCCCAAGGGTCCCTCCAACACCATAGGCACCATGAGCAATGCCTAGGATGGTGGTACTATTCACCAGATTGCCACAGAAGACATTGTTGAGAGCAAGGATGATGGCCTGGCCGAATCCAAAAAAGAAGAAGCTGGCCACGACTGCTGGGAATGGCGGCTTGCAGATGATGATAATGTACCCGGTCACCATCAATGACAGACAAAACATGTATGTTCTGGATCGACCAAATCGGTTCTCGAGCGCATGAGAGCATGGCGCAGCCAAAATGTAGCCCAGAGCATTGGTAACGAAAATCAACGAGACAACGGCATAGCCGATCCGGTAGGTCTTTTCCATATATGGAATCAACGCACCAGGCGAGCTGTCGTTCATGGCGTTGGCGAAATACATCATGCACACACTCAGCAGCCGCCATCGGTTCCTGGGCGGGTTGGAGACGCTCTGGATCAGGTCTGCGGTGCCAGCACCTGCCTGGAGGCCGAGAGGAGAAGCGGGAGATTCCACATCATTAGACGGTGGTGTAATCGGTGTCTGCACGCCAGTAGGAGGGAGAGAAGAATAGTCCGTCTCTCTGGAGGAGAACCTGCTCCAACTTTTTTGTAGCTCATCCAGTTCACGATCGGAAGGTGAGCTGGCAATGCCTTGCTTGTCTTTGCGAACCACCGCAGCGGGATTCGTAATCTGAGGAGAGCTTTCAATCTCGATCAAAGCACCGAATTGGGTCGACATTGTGGCAACAACAACTCATCCCCAGATAGAGATCTTGAAAGAAAAAGATAATAATGATAGAACTTTGGCAATTTCATGCCACACAAACTGATTATCCGAGGGGGAGAATTGTGGGATGTCCCCCGTCTTTTAACATAAGCTGAGGAACTTGGAAAAGCTGGAAAATGGTTTCCGACGCCACCTCATCTATCACCATTAATAGTGTCTCTAAGATTGATAAGACCCAGATAGACGACACCGCTTCCTGCTGTCAGGTCCAGAACAGCAATGATATCAGGGACTAGCAGCACATGATGCCATCCCGGCGGCCCAACCACATTGCAGAGTCGGCCCTTGTGGACCGTGAGTCCTGACTCATGTGCTGGGGACAGAAGGCTCAATTGAAGGATTTACAGGTATGATAGAGAAAGATTCCCCATCAGGTTACGTTATCATGTGGCCACATCTCTGCTGAAAGGATCGTGGTGAAGGATTTGATCTGGGACGATTGGAATACGCCGAGACCGACCTGTGGAACACGTGAGACTGGTCCGCCACAACCGTTTAATTTCTTTTTCTTTTTTTAGCCCAACGCATATCTCACCAGGATTCGGCCGAACAGGGCAAAAAAAAAAGACGCTTGCCTCTAGCAAATCAAATTATTAAATTACAGACATATATCCACAACATTGACCGGTCTATAGCGAAGAATAATGGGGGCTCCCAAGCGCAAAGTGCTTGCCACCGCGGAGGAGACTCTGGTTCCTCCCGATGAACTCCCCGAGGGGCAGTTGATCGCCCGGGTCATCAAGGGAACGGGCAACAATCTCTACTCGGTAGAGTTACCGTCCAAGACAACGATCTTGGTCCTGTTACCGCCGAGGTTCCGATCCACCTTCTGGATGAAGCGCGGCTCGTATGTCGTGGTCGACACAAAGACGGTCGAAGGTCGCGAGAGTAAACTCGGAGGAGAGATAGTCAATGTTGTAATGGATGAGAAAGCCTGGCGCAAAGCCCCCTTCTGGTAAGCTTGCTACTGCAGGTGTTGCTAGCCTCACTTGAACCAACTGGCTGAGTCTTCCCAGGCCAAAAGAATTCGTCAAACAGACATTCCAACCATCGGACGACGAAGATGAAGAAGAGTCGACAGTAGGCAAAATGCCACCGTCGGATGAAGAGGATGAGTGACATCTCAGCCTTTATCCTCCACCCTTCGGTTTTTAATGCATGGCACATCACGGCATGGGATTCTGGAATGACAGAATATCTCTAGATTCATTCTGCATGTGCCAAGCTGTCTCTGGGCAGTCATTCACGGAATTTCGCTTCGTCAAAAAGCTTGCTATTCACGATGATTTCGGATGTCCTTCGTTTTCGACCTTTTCCTTTTCAAGGCAGCTGCCATCAGATTCACCCCGGTTACCCAATAAAACACCCAAAACCTGAACAGCAAGGCAAAGGACAACGACGATTGAGCTGGCGGTCGTGCTAGGAAAGACGTTCCAGGCCCATTCTTGGACCGCCCATACGGTGTACAGGATCACTGGATGGAAACTGGCTCGCCAAAGAAGGAAAGGAGTAGTCCAGGAAAGATAGGCGAAGAACTGATAATGCAGGGATCTTGCGCAAAGCAAACCGATCGCAAGGGACGTGAGCAACGTCGTCGTCACAAAGCGATCTGAAAGAACTACTGTTGGCTGGCGTCCTGCTAGGAAGTTACGGGCAAAGGCCACGACATTGGACCCGGAGGGGCGTAGCCAGCGCGTTGCTACGAAAAGACCAAGCAGCGAGACGTGCAGAACCAGCAGGCCCAAGGAGAAGGATCTTGATAGAAAGACCTCTTCTCCAACGAACCGCCAATTAACCGTCCATTTGAATAGAAACTGCCGTGTCAGTTCGAAGGCTCGAGAGACATAACCAACCGGGTTTTCTTGGAGGAAAGGGATAGCAAGAAGCACCTGTTCATCTAGAGTTAGCTACGCATGGGGCATTTCCATGATATGATGCGCCAATTAAAGGCAGAAAATTATCTACTCTATGGAAGATAAAAAAAATCAAAGAGGAATACCATACCTGAATCAGTACTGCTAAGAATGCAAGCTGAATAGAAGCGCCAATGCCTCCAGAAAGCGCCACTATCACAGCGATGGCCGGGGCCAAGAGTAATAGTGACATCTTTACACCCACCCCAATCGACCAGGTTGCGACTGCAGCCGTATAGCTCCCTCTCTGGAAGAGTAGAATGGACACCCACATGGCAAACGCTGCGATCCCATCATTAAACAGCCGTAATACGTAGACACTATGAAGCCTCTTGGAGAGCACCAGGAGCGGAAACAGGTATGGCGGAGCGCGCGCGCGCACGTAGCAAGCCATGACCGTGGCCAAAGTAAGGATATAGAGCGCCGCAAACAGGATCTGGCCGAAGGCAATATCGCGACCCTCATCCGTCACGCCATGCAGGAAGGAGTATATGTAGACGTGGGCAGCCGGGTAGACGAGGGGGCCCGTGGACCCCTTGATGGCGGTATAATCACGTTCGCCGGCATGGTAGAGCGAGACCTGCTGCATATACGTTGTCCAATCGATCTCTGTGTCTGTTGTTCGGATCGATCTCTCAGTCTTGTTGTGCACGAATTGGAGGGGAATAATAAAAGGACAAGTATGCAGGAGCTCAACTGGGTATGCATGGAGTACGGAGTAATACTCACAAGGGATCTTCCAGATGATGAGGCCGCAGAGGACCGCATCCGCAAGGACGAGCAGCGGCGCGATCCATCGTGTATGCTTCGGGTTCCTGCAAAGGTCGGTTACCAATTGATACAAATCCATTGCTGCGACCTGGACATGATTATTCCGTATAATGCTGTTTATCAGCAAGGTGGCTTGTCATCCAACTTTAGTTCCCTGCAGGCCGGCGGCTCGGGTCGGCGCCTCGGGCAGCACCTCCAGCTGAATCGGGTTAGCGTCAATTTCTGCGACGAAATATCAAAGCAGATTTAAATCCATTTGATAGGTAATCGTCACTGCGCAAGACTTTGGTGAAGGAGGTTTCTACTTAGTAGTGATTTAATCTCTTCTTCTACTTCGGTCAAGGGAGACTTTTTACCATTGCAAGAATGATATGTTGGGAACAGGAAGAGCGGATTCACCCACGTCAGCAGAAGAGCATAAATATCAAAGCCTCCTTCATTATCTAACAAAAAGCCTCGGGTCAGGCCTGGTTGTAGTTGTAGGCCAAGACTAGTATATGCCTCGCTTTGTATGCTACCTCCAATTGAGGGGGTTCAGTAACATCCCTAGCCGCCAAAAGCATAGGTGGGATTTTCACGGCACCTTTAACTGAGAAATCAGTGAGGGTCTGGGATTCATATTTATACGCCTTACGTATGTCGGTCAGTGTGCTATTTATATACTCCTGTGCTCTAAGCGCTGTCCTGCATCGCAGATGGCTTACTACATTATACTCGAAGACAGAGATATTTCCCATTCTAGAAGAATTGTGATTAATCTGTACGTAAATCATTGCAATTCTGGTATATTTTACATGTAACCTTTCACCGAACATTGATGTACAGAGGCCACAAGGTATCTCTAAGCCTCAACAAACCAACAAGACAAGTAGATAATCGTCACCAAACGAGATCGCGTCTAGCAAAACCAACAGATCACAGCGTTTGTAGTCAAGCGAAGGTATAATCCACAATCCACTTTCGGCACCTGTCTCTTCTTCTCTCAGCTTCCGTCTCCTCGACCGGGGATATCGGTTCGTGGTGCGCCATCCCTCCCCTCGCGTGGCTCTCTACCGGTATTTGTCGAGAAACCGAGGAGTTTGCCAAGTATGCCACCGGGTTTGGGCACCGGACATTCTCTTCCCACCCTGGCCATCGTCTCAGCCTCCTCCTCCATCTGGAGGAATGTCGAGACCTCTTCATCCGTCGCTTGTGGCAGGCCTCGTGAGGCGCCGTCTGTGGATGAGAGTTGTTCTGGAGCATCAACTGCCTTCCTCTTCTTCCGCCTAGGTCTTTGCATTTGTCGTCCGTCGACATCTGTCATGGTCATGTCTGAATCGGCTAGGGTGCGGCGGGGAGCAGGACACGGGAAGATATGAGGCAGGCCGACAATGACAAACGAGGCGAGCAAAGTCGCGGCAAAGAGAGAGCTGGTCGACCGCGACCGAGGATGTAGGTAATGAGGCATATTGGCAGCAATGGAGGACAATTGCTCTATAAATCGACCTTGTTGAGCGTCATGAAAAGAACATCTGCTGTAGAGCCTGCAGCGTCTGTCATGAGCACAATGTCAACCATTGTCAATGGAAAGGACTCCACACATGCATACCATTGACAGAAAGATCGTGATGAATAGTTAAAGGAAGGACATGGCGTTCAATTGGACGTGAGTTGGTGTCAACTCATGTCTTCCGGACTCTTTCTGCGTTCACCTTGTTAACTTCCGGCGATGCGGAAGTTGGGCGATCACCTGATTTAGGGGACTGCGTGGGGACGGGATCTTATCAATCGCGTGATCTATTGGCCAGCCAGCATCAACCGCTTCGACACCTGCGCTGCAGCTCGCGCTCTCTGGTCGCGCCACCAAACTCGGTGCCTCACAAGCCAGATCAATCTCTATTTTGTTCGTCGCGTTCACCGGGATGCAGATCTGAAGATGAAGCTATACTGGTTACAGAGATAAGGGTATCCGCCTTTTTCTTCATTTTTTTTGCTGCGCACGCGCGGCAGAAGCGAGTAGCTTCTCTGTTCCCCGCAGCCCTGTTTGAACTAATCCATTATCCAACACATCACTCCGGTCGGCGACTGCGTGGCACTGTGGCACAATGAGTGACCTCGACAAGTATGGGTGTTATCATCACCGGATTTATTGCAACATTGGTGACTGACAATCTGGATTTAGAGCCATCGCACAGCTGCGAGCCTGTCGACCGATCCCCGAAGCCCAGGTTCGCGAGCTCTGCTACAAGGCACGAGAACTTCTGATCGAGGAAGGAAACGTGGTCTCCGTGGATGCTCCTGTCACGATATGCGGCGATATTCATGGCCAGTTCCACGACTTGATGGAACTCTTCCGGGTTGGCGGTGACGTCCCCGATACCAACTACCTTTTCATGGGCGACTTCGTTGACCGGGGCTTCTATTCGCTTGAGTCGTTCCTCCTGCTCCTGTGCCTCAAAGTGCGCTACCCGGATCGCATCACCTTGATACGGGGAAACCATGAATCGAGACAGATCACGACGGTGTATGGCTTCTATGACGAGTGTATCCGCAAATATGGGAGCGCCAACGTGTGGCGATACTGCTGCGAGGTGTTTGATTATCTGGCGTTGGGGGCTTTGGTCCTTGGTGCAAGCTCCGAGCTTGAGCCTACGACGACAGGGTTGAACGACTCGCAGATGCCTGTCGAGGATGGGGAGCTAGAGACGGAGGTGTTGAACGCAAAGGGAGAGGTCACCATGACTACATACCGGAGGAGACAACGGTCTTCATCCGATGCCTCGAACGATACCCGAGACATTTCACCACCACGAGATATTTCGGCACCACGAAGCGAGACACCGTCGCGACCTGGACCGGCCGGAACAGGAGCTTCAGGAAACAGTTCGGGAAGCCTGATGACCACGACCGGGGCTGTTCTCTGTGTTCACGGCGGGCTGTCTCCATTGGTTGACAGCGTCGATAAGATCAGGCTCATAGACCGCAAGCAGGAAGTGCCTCATGAAGGAGCCATGTGCGATCTTCTGTGGTCTGATCCCGACGAGATCGAAGGGTGGGGGTTGAGTCCTCGAGGCGCAGGGTTCCTATTTGGCGGCGATATCGTGAAACACTTCAACTACAAGAACGACCTCTCCCTGATTGCGCGAGCACACCAGCTGGTCATGGAAGGATACAAAGAGATGTTCGACGGCGGGATCGTAACGGTCTGGTCGGCCCCGAACTACTGCTACCGATGCGGCAACGTGGCTGCCATCCTCGAACTAGGCGAAGACGCCAGCAACGGGGGCACGATCGCACGGAGCAATGGAGATTACTTACGGAGTAACGGCGTACTACGGCATGACGGGGTAAGGAATAAACAGATCATCGGACCGGGACGGCGATACCGGGTATTTGAAGCCGCCGCTCAGGATACGAGAGGCATGCCGGCGAAGAAGCCGGTAGCCGATTATTTTCTGGTAAGAATCATCCTGTCCATCCTGTCGTATCTTGTTTTTCCCACCTTAACTAACTCATCTATCACGTAACAGTGATACCACTTAACGACTTTATTTTTCTACCTAACTCTGTTTTCATTTTTGCTTCTCCTTCTTTCTCTCTCTCTTTTTTTCTTTTTACTTCACCCTTCTTTGGTTTTGTTCCCGTTCTTTCTTTCTTTCTTTCTTTGATTCTTCCTTTCATGTTTGTTATGTTATACTATATGCAGTATAGGGAAGAGAAATAGGAAAAAATAAACGGTTCCAAAAGGAAAATACATAAAAACATATATGACAATGTTCTTCATGGATAATTAGGCACACTAAGTACTATGAAATGGTATGGTACGGTCTATGAAGACAGTCAACAAGAGAAAGAAAGAAGGAAGACGATCGATTGAATCACAGATAATGATTGTTTCGTCTCGTCTTGCCTCGTCTTGTCTCGTCCTGGATAACGAGGCCATCATTATCCATACTTGCCATGGTTTGTATCATAGGGAGTCTTGCTATACATCTGTATCTAGACTACATAGGTGGTCATTCAAGTCCCGTTCGAACGGTTCGATCTGCTTCAGCCTTCATGCTTCCTGTTCATATATCACATGCAAAAAAACAAAAGGGGGTATTCGGCTTCGAAATCACTCCCAAAGTGACTATATAACATATATACCAGTTCCCCCAGACTCTTTTCTTTACAAAGCCACCCTATATCCCATGTTCCTTACTCGATATCCTTACTCAAAAAAAAGTCCACATACATCATACAATCAAAAATCGACGTCAAGGTTGTGTGGATAACCGTACCCAGTCTTGCTCGTTCCAGGTCCCGCCTGGCATCTGCAGATCGGCCATTGTCCTTTCCGACGGTGGTGGCATGCTGGCGCTGGTTGTTGTTGTTGTTGTATGTTGTGGCTGTGATGGCGGCGCCACATCGATCCCCATGCCAAAATGATTCCCTACCCAGCCCTCTCCCCAATTTTCTAGCCCAAGTGCGAGCGCACTTTGGTCTTGCAGCAACCACTCTTGGCTTTCTTCCATCGAGTTATCTGCAATGCCGTTGAAAATCGGCATCGGAGGCGTACCAGTTAGAGTCGCTGGGCTATTGCTGCTGTTGGAATTATTGCATGGAAGATCTTGGCCAATGCTCCACACGTCTTGCTGTTGTGACTGCTGTAGAGCAGTAGACTGAGGAGAGACGATCCCTGACTCTGGCCTAACATAGCCTGATACCGGAAGAGAAGTTTGAGGAGGCTGTTGAGCATAGCTGCTGAAGGAACGGTGATCGGGTCCTGCCGAATATAAATGAGATATGTTAGAGAAGAGAGGAGGCTGGAACGCTGGAGAGGTAGATGCTAAAGGAACGCTGCTGGCAGGCGGCTGAGATTCATACCGCTGCTGCTGCTGCTCTACGGAAGTAGAGAAGTCACTTTCTCTGGAATGGCTGGCATGTGCGGTCGACGAAATGTTAGACTTTCCCATCGTTGGAGACTCCTCCGAAGTAGCGGGGGATGAGCCATGATCCCACGCGCCCCATGATCCCCATTTCGCGTATGTTCTCTGGAAGACGGCTACCGCTTCATCAGGTAATTCAATACGCCATTTATTCGCAGTAATATCCAGGATGCGAAGGGTCCGACGGGCACAAAGCCAGCCTTCAGCAATCTCCTCGAGATTCCGGAGGCCGTGGATGAGATCTCTCTTGGCATTTTTTTCTGGAAGGTTCAGGAGGTGAATCGTACAAGCAGAGTGAACAATATACACTGCAATGTTGCAAATTTGACGCAGGCCGTAGGTGCGTTTATACATCCGGAGGAGCTTGGATATAGCAGACGCGGCTTGTGTACATATTCTTCGAGGAGAAACATGCTGCGGTAGCGGTGACGTCGACTTGGTGTACTTCAGAAAGGGGCGATACAGGTGGATGAACAAGAGCTGGTGGAACATACTAACCAGACGTCAGCACATAAAGACCGTTTGACGGGAGAAAAAAGGAAAGAAAAAAGAAGATCATACTGCATGAGAAGTACAGGTGGAAGTTGTCCTTCCTTCGGTTCCATTTCTGCCGGAAGAGCTCTCCTCCAAGCTTCCAGCCTGGTGTGGACATCGCTCAGTTTCTTTAACTCCACCTGCCGCGAAGGCTGCTTCTGCACGGGCGCCGGATGATAGAAGAAGGCTAGGAGATCATTACTGATCTCACACAACTTGGATATCTGCAGCGCGACTGCTCTAGTCCGCGCCGGCTGTGCAAGTTCCTGGACCGCGCCAGAGTCCGTATAAGGCGACCACAGTTCTGCATCTTCCTCTGGGAACACTTCGAACTTCGGTACAGCGATATTAGATGACGACAACTGTGGTTGACGGCCAAGGTAGTTCGACCAGCACCTGTCAGAGTCAAGTCAGCATGTGCTACACAAAATTCAACCTTCAGTTTTTACAGACTTGTCGAAGAGAAAGCAACCCCAGAAGGTTACCCTCCTTGCATCAATTTCTTCCTCGGTGAGCTTGTTTGTGCCAAGCATCGTGACATCGACATTCAAACCCAAGTCATAAGCCATGCGAAAGCTCATGCCGCTGTACACCCATCCTTTGCCCTCGCGGCCACATCCGGCCTCTCGAACGGACATGAGAGCAAGAGCCTGGACAGTGCAGAGTTTGGCTTTCTCGTGTTCATCATGTTCGAGGATCAACCTCTTCGCCTCCTTGAAAAAGTGGTCCCCTGCCGTGGCCGAGTCGTCGGGATTCTCCCGCGCACCTTTCCATGAACTGAAATGGCAGCCCAGAGCCAACATTGCGTTGACTAACAAAGAGGAACAGTACTGACTGGAGCGGCCACGGACGTAATCTCGATAAAAGAGGTGTTTCGGAAGCGTGGTGAAGTAGGCATAATGCCATGTGAAATACATTGTCATCAGATGCCCGACCAATTTCTCGTCGTCTGTGACTCTGGTCCACTGAGCTACAGAAAAGTTTGAAGCACTGGTATTATTCGCCAAGGTATTCGAGTCATCTGATTCGGATTCAGAGGGGAGGAAGATGAGGTTTGACGTGCCACCGATGAATTTGACGGAACCATCCAGCATCAATTCGCTCATCTTACCAGCCAATTCGGCCTCGAACTGATCCGCCTCTGGAAGGTCTTCTTCTTCGGTTGGCCCCGGTTGGTTCTGAACGGTCGTCAGGCCCCTTTCCCGGGCGGTGACGGCATCTGCCACGTCCTCCAAGTTGTCACAGGACCGTATCTGGCGCACCAATTCGTACACATCATCATCGTCATAGTTTAGTATCGCGTGAATGATGGTCTGCAAGGTTGTGTTTCGCGTTCTCAGGTTATCAATGTCCTTCTTGTAGACGCCCTTCCGCCGGTGGTCTGAGTTTGGATCATAGACACCTACAACAAGAGTAAGCTCAAGGTCTAGCGGCCGCACGGACAGGACTGGGTGTCGCAATACATGGTGTGTGGTAAACCGAGGAGCAGGCCGCACAGCTAGGCTGGTTTCCGTCACACTGCGTAAATTTTTTAGCGAGACGATTGCAATTGACGGTCAGGAGGATACTTTTGCGATTCACCTTTGATTTCCTCCTGCGGCACGCGATGCAGGCCGAGCTGACACAGCGTCTTTTGACTGCCGGACCATCCTCTTTGCCCTTTCCTTTGCCTTTGCCCGAGGGAACAGCCTCCGGGCTATTGTCCCCGTCGCGCGCCTTGTCCCATTCGTCTACCATAATCCGCAATTATCCCTAGATGATACAAGGACGGATTTTTCCCTAGTCACTGCTGCTGTGCCATTATTCGACGACCGCCGAAATCGAGTGCACATGGTCTGAATGGGCGAGTTCGTCACGGCTTGTCGAGCAAGACTGTCGCTGATTCCATTGAAGCAGAGGCCTAAAAGCGACTTAATCGTCAGGTCTAACGGCAGCAAAAAATGACAGGCGGCGGGCATCACACAGGGCATCACATACTGGAAGCTACGACCTTTACCTGGCTGGTGTTGCTTGCTGATCGTTAAGATGCAAGTCGCGACCCCACGATCTGTCCGCAGTTTCCGCCTTCCAGACTTTCTAATAACAGCCCCGCGATTTGAACGGGCTGGCGGGGGACAGAGCAAAGCTAGTATCAAGCGAAAGAACGGAGGTCGACGCCAGGATGACTGAAAGATAACCGACTGAATGACAACGACGATTGGCTGGTTCCTATCGCTGAGATGAGCGATCTCGCGCAAAGATGATAATAACTAAGCCTTGGCGGAATCGCTGACTAAGCACTGCAGAGTGGAACTACTAGAGACCGGAGAGGAGAGAATTCATACGGTATGCAGGTCTTAAGTGATGGAAAATTTTGATACTAGTACCTTTTTCGGCAAGAATCACGGTGGTAACCGGAAATTGCAATCCTCGATAGAGTTCGGCGTTGGCGGAGGTTCGAAGTTCTAGATGCTCTGGAGGCATCAATTGTCGAAACGGGTGAAATCCTCAAGCTTTACTGTGTAGGTAAACAGACTTGGATCATAACTGACGTACCATGAGCATTTCTATGACAAATATAGATACTGTAATGATGTTCTGTATGTAATTTACCTCCACTACCTCCTCGATCTGCCACTTAGGGTTTGTTGCTATTCCGCCGCACGTGTCGCGGTTGATAGATCACACAAGCATCTTGGCAAATGTAATGATGATGTCTGACGTCTGGACCCTGGGAGTCCATCTTCTGGTTTGAGCCGGTGCTTCGAGAGTTCTGCTGGCCTGGTCCGCTTACTATTGGAAGGAGTACCTAAAATATATTTTAGATACTAGGTAGTTGTGTAGTTGTATGCCATTGACCGCGATGCCCACGCTATCTTCCTGTACACACCATCTATATCATGCAGCTTATTACAATTTGCTTTCAATAATCCCCTATTTTACTTTATTATCCTTGATATTGTCGAACAAGCTGCCAGTCAGGATGTTTTTATTGAAAGAAAGAACGATTGAACCACGCCCTTTGCTAAGCGGGATGCAGAGACACATGACCTGGGTGCACATCACGTGCCGTACTCAGTCACATGACGTTTCTCCCCAAAATTCCCAAAAAGGCCAAGTCGCACGCTGGCAGCCGCGGCAGCCGAGAGACTAGACACAGAGTTGGGCAGCGACGCGGCAGTCAGCACGAGGAAAAAGCGGAGGAGAAAACTGTTGGGACATGGAGAAACACAACGAAAGCTGTCCTCGAAACCATCCAACCGCTTAAAGATTCAAAGAAAGAGATTTTGTTCTGCTTGTCCTGCTCCTTTCTGCCTAGGTCATGACGCTGGGTAATAATAATAATATTCTTATTAATAATCGGTTGTAAGACACGGGATGGCTTTCCTGTTGGGGTTGTGTCGGGGACCATCGGATGTGGGGTCAAACGGCAGGAAAGGGGCTTCAGTCGACTTGCCATGTGTAGGCCGGTGAGTCGAGGAGGGGCTGACACCGGGACACCGCTTCGATGCTCCACTAGCAGAACATTCTGCAGTGGGGGGGCATGCAGGCCAAGTCGGAAAAACAGCAGACGACTGCGAGTTTATCGGACAGACGATCTGAGGCCGCGTTTGGCCGCTTCGCCTCGGTCAGCCGGAGCCGCCTGACTGGAGACACGATATCGTCCGCCAATGGGCGCGGCGCTGATCTGGTTCCATGGCGCGGGACAGATCAGCCATCCCTACGAGGAAGACAGTCAATCATCATTATTACCTAAGG